CTCTGGGAGTAAGGCCAGAAACTTGGTCTTCTTTTGGAGCTCACTATAGTCAAATCATCTCCCTCAAGCCGCGTCAACAAGTCGAAGAATTTCTGCACCCCTTCTTCAACCGCTTCGTCTTCTTCAATTTGTAGTGCCGCCATTTGCAGTTCCAACACCACCGCTACCGCCGCTGTTGCAGGAGCATGTACACCCTTGAGAGCAGCCCATGCCTTTGGTCCCTTCTCTGGTTCACGCTGGAATGGCTTGATGTGACGGATTTGGCTGCTCCCCAACGCTTGCCCAAGTAGGAGATAGCCTTGTGCACTCTTCCGCACCCACTGGCTCTTCTCCGGGTCGTTCTCGGGGCGCTTCTCCATTCCTTCCATCACCTCCAGCAGTTCATAGTGGTCAAAGATGTTCTCCATCTTGAAGGACCATTCAGCAAAGTTGTCACCGTTGAACTTGTCAAGCCCAAACACCCTAGGCTCATCCCTAGGTGGGCCAAGACTTGGTTGCATGGGAGACATGGTGGGATCACGGGGTTGGCCTTGAGCTTTGGCTTCTCCACTACCACCAGCACCTCTGCCACCCCTTTCCTCAGGTCCAGCCATTGTCGAAACTGCTTCAAGGGGCTCTGATACCACTTGTTATAGTCACAATAGGCTTGAATGTGCCTAAAACGAAAGATAGAGTGCATAGTCGGATTTCTGCACAGCGGCTTCACATGTTGATAGCGTTCTGCTCACAGATTCAAATGACTTGCTATAAATTGTATCTGAAGCGTCTTGATATCGCCTACAATAGGCAATTTACATCGCACTATTTCATCAAGTATTGATGACGCAACATTGGTTTGAACGATCAGCACTATGGCAGCCACCATACTCTTAGAACACAAATTAGGAAGAGTTACGAGTGGGGAATGACTCCCAGCTCCTACAAAACCCAAGAGCCGAGTTACAGTGATGTGGAACAGTGCCACACTGTCCCCAACCATGAAGGGTTTCGAAACTACCCTCCATAAGGGCCTACACCAAGAGAAATGTTACACTACATATTGTAATGTAACTATTCTCACTATCTTGAAGTTTACCCTTTTGGAGAGCTTTGAAATCACTTGAATCTTGAAACCATGGTTCTGGTTCTTCGAGATAAATTCTTCCTTGAGTTCTTGGAAGTCTTCTGCGCACACCTGCGACACGCCGAACGTTCCACACACGACAAAATAGAAAACCGCACACGACACGCAAACGACGACGTGACACGCGACTAGCGATAACTCGCTATTGACTCGACACACGCATTCAAAATCATGCCTCATCATTCACACACAACTGTAAGCATGAAATATATATTATCTCATGCCCTCGTACCATTCCATGCACACACGCATGCACGCACACGGACAACAACCCGAATGCAAACCGTAGGGTTGCACCAACAGATAGCATTCACAGACACTCAGAAAATCCAAACCACACCAAACACAGATTCTTGCACACACTCACACCACGCATGCAACGCACGAACATATGATGGGAGGCAGATAGACGTGAATGCAAATAATAGCATCACATAACATGAAAGGTGGCTGCTGCAACCCGTGTTGGCTGCATATCGCTGCCAAGAGTGGGGCTTTTCCCTCGACGAGGAAGACGCACACAGTGCCTGGGCGGCGCCGAAGGCGCGGACTGCGGCACGTGTGAAGGAGCGTGTCGGCATCACTGTTGGAGGGGAGGGTAGGGGTTTCACACGCTGTACTGCGTGCTTTTGTATGTGAATCTGTGTTGCACATACTAAGTCCCGTTCCCTACATCCTTTTTTTATGTGCAGAGACGATGGCCATTACACGCTGGGCGCATGACAAGAGAGGCATGCCTTTTGCGTCAGCCTTGTTGACTGCGTGTGCCCGTGCTGTGTTCAAGCCAAGGATGGTGAATGGCACTGAGACACTCAAGGTGTACCACCTGGCGTAGCTGGAGCATGTGGTATTTTGTAGTACCTTGACACAGGTGCTTGTTTGTGATGACTGAGTGCACCCGGCACTAATGTTGACATTTGTTGCGTGTATGTGCTGTTCAGGTGACAGATGCCATTCGCCACTGGGACGAGCGGAAGGGACGCCTGTCGAGCTCCGCGGCCAACAACGCGCACATCATCGACGGCCTCCACGTCCTTGCCTCCATGTCCTCCATGTCCACGCGGTCATCCACGCCATCAAACTGTTCCAGCACGAGTATGACAAGAAGTCTGGACATGGGCGTGGGGACGCCATGGGCTGCGCATGTCTGCTTATGGGCTTGCAGGGACACAGGAGGCTGCGCAGGTCGCAAGCGACAATGCAGTTGATCGCAATAGTGGCTGAACGTAATGTGATGTGTATGTTGCTAAGGCCGGAAGGGCGAAAGAGTTATGCAAGGGGAGTGGCTTGAAACACTGGACAAGAAGGATGGATGAGGGGGTTGTGTGATGTTGATTTGAAGTCAGAGAAGATGGAGTAGAAGGGGAGTGCAAACTCTGGGAGTCGAGAATGAAGAATTGTGAACCCTTGCATAGTGCCTGTTGTGTGGTGTTTACAAATAATGAGATTATTGTTGGGAACTCCTCCTGACCCACAAATAATGCCGTCATTGTGGCTTGCGGCCACGAGCACATCGTGGAGGATCTCATAGGCCAATCTGAAATCGGCATGTAGACGCGCTTCGTGACGATGGACAAATTGCATCCGTATGATCGTCCACATCGTAACATGCAGGCTCGTTGAGGTGTGAACATGTGTAGAATTTCCAGAGGGCGAGGCTGGAGTTATATTGTAACTGCGATGCATTGCCTGGCAATCTTCAGCATTGAGCATAACATGGATGGACGGTTCGATTTGGTTTAGACTGTTGTACAGTGCATATTGCATGTCGGGATCAAGGCCGTCAAATGTTGTCGCTAGCGATGGTGTTGCAGCCGTGGATTGATTCGAGGATGGACGGTCATCGTGCATCGCGCGACATGAGGGTGGAGGGGGCACATGCCATCGTGTGCGTAGGTGACATGGACGTGCAAAGAATCTGAACTGTCGGAACGCGCCAATAACATGCGCCCACGTGCGTCAAAGCGATTGGTGAACTCTACTGAGCGAAGGATGTACGTCGCCTCGTTCGAGGTGTACGTACGTCGTCGCCAATGAGAGTACGGTGTCGACGTCGCGTCCCACGTGGAGCGCGTATGACATGTAATTTTAACGTGTCATTATGGTCACAACTAGAAATGTGATGTGAAAGTCACACAATCGGGACGTGCAAGGTGACGTCATTGTGACTTTTCCGAAACTGCGATATGGCGTGAATGTTACTTTTGAGTCACATTCAAGGTTACGGTCGGTTCCGGTACTTTCATCCATCACTTAGAAGTCCCCTTTTTGTGTACGCAAATGTGACGGAAAAGTCACATTAACGTCACTTTCCGCACTTGCCTTCTCAACGATGCATGGGGTTAGTCACCCCGCCAGAATCGTCCAAATCCCCAGTGTTACCAGTTCCTATAGCTGTGGACCGAACCTCTGGAAGGTCACCAGCTATAGCTCGTTCCGCGTGTTGAGAACCAACATCTGCTCTCTCCCAGTTCTTTCCGCAACGCTCTCCGGCTGGACTGTTGTGTCGCCTGCGGCTGCGGCTGCCTTCTGCTGCTTCAGATGATTTTGTTATTGCTGCTGACGCATATCGTGCCGCTGGTGATCCATATAATGATGACGTCACTGTCTGGCTGGTTTCCTGGATCTTTCGGTCCCCTTCGCCGGCGGGAAACTCGTCTTCACTCTTCGCCAAACGCGTCTTTCGCTTACGGCTCCACATGCTTAAAAATTATAGTTCATGCGACCGTGGATTCATCGCATAGGGTCGCTCAGCTCGTAACACAAGAGTCGCTCAATATAAATTCCTTTGCAAGTTAGAAGAAACTCGTGAGAAAATCGCCAAGCACGGCTTTCGCCTACAGCTCCATTCAGAAACCATAGAAAACGCATGGAACTATTACGAGAGAAAACATCCAGGCCAAATCTAAACGTCTACAGCTAACATGCAATGGCCGACCACGTCCGATTACAGGACTTCAACTGCACCACGCACTTCCGTACTGATTCCCAGTTGGCAACTACAAATTCCGCCTATTGAAGTTGTGTGCACCCAACATATCGGAAGGGGAATACGTGTACGGCTCTTATGCCGTGCTGGGTGTTCGTGCGACCATGATCCCTGCTATACGGTCCTGAGTAGTAAGTGGTGAAGCACCTTTTATTCTGCATTATATTGTTTACTCTCTCAGAAATAACAAATTTTACTCAAGGTGAACTCAAGTATTATAAGTACTTAGTAACCACTCGGAACTAACTAATTTCTTTTTGTATCCATGCATACAAATTGACGCCATCTCTCAATCACACAAACACATACAGTATCTTACACAGTACTGTTGTTATAGCTGCTCTAGTTGTCGTGTGGTCCACATGGGAGGAAGGACAGAAAAACCTTCACTTCTTCCAATGCTGCTTCTTGCCCTATCCCCCTAAACTCTGATTAGAACCTTACCATAATTGTTGACTAGTGAGACCTTTTAGACAGCATTCGGCAGAAAGGTACGATTACATCAGCTAAAATTCTGTACCGTTTGACCCCAAACTTATCCTCAAACTGCTCGTCTGTACCCCGGAGAAACTGCTGCAAGCACGCCGTTTCCGTTTCCGCTTCCAAATTCACCAGCTGCTGCTCTTTGAAAGCCCTCCCTCCTGGCTCGTCACTCCCTAGGAAAAGCCCAAGCAATGGTCAACTGCCACACCTCCCCTTCGCACTGCTGCTCTTGCCTGTCACCCGCCCATTCACTCCTTGTTTCTTCCGCTCCCCATTCAATTCCCTCTACCCCCTCCAATTTGTCAGACACAGAAACCCAGCTTGCTCCTCTGTTTCTCAGCTGCAATCGAAACATCCCTCCCGTCTCCAACACTCATCCAGATAATCATCTCGTGTGCCACAACCTCATTGCCCATTCGCACCAGCAAGCAGGCCGGCGGCAATCCCAAGGGCCATGTTGGGGAAGAGGAGGGAGAGGGAGAGGTGGAAGAGGGCAAAAAAGGCTGCAGACAGCATGGCAGCGCCCATCCTAGGGGGGAAAGAGGCAGGAAAGGGGATAGTGCAGGGAGGAAAGAGGGGAAGGATACAGGACAGATGAGATCAAGTGAGTGAAGATAGGAAAGAACGGGACACATTGGATTGATGCGAGGAGCGTGGGCTATGGGAATGGAGGAACTTATCAGACCCAGACAGGTGGTAATAGTAGAGACTTGCCAAACCTCACTACCAAGCCTCCTGCAAAGCCTCTCACCTGCCGAGCCTCTCTTACAGGGCTGTGAGCAGTAGCTCTTTGAACAAGGAGGGAAGGGAGAGGTGGAAGAGGGTGAAGAGGGCAGCAGAGAGCATGGCAGCGTCGATCCTGAGGGAGAGCCTGGGAAGACGGCAAGACGGATCCAAAGCGAGTGGCAGCCCAGGGAGCCAGGGAGGAGGTAGGGCGGGGAGAGTTCCACGCCTTACCCCCATTCCTCTCACTCCCTCGTACCATTCATCCACCCTTCATGTCACCACCTACCCAGGAAGATGGCATGGCGCCGTGGCGGCCCTCCCGGCCCTTTATATACCAGTGGCAGTGCCATGGCAGCCCAGTGGGCCAGGGAGGAGGTAGGGCAGGGAGATCTTTACCCCGTATCGCCCGGCCATGATCCGTTGGAAGATCTCGGAGGTGGAGGGGAAGAGGAAGGTGGGCAAGTACGAAGCAATGAGCGATTTAATGAGGGCGGGGAAGCGAGGTAGGGCATCGTGTACCGAGGCAATGAGAGGAGAGACACGCTTTGATAAAGACGGGTTTGATAGAAAAGCACCACTCACCTCACCCACTCCCAGAATAGCCGTGAGATTGAGAGTGAGAGGGAGGACGTGGTGTGCTGATTTCCCCACCCAAATGCCATAAGGGTCGAGGTTTACACCAGAGAGAGTGGCAATGGTGGCGAGACAGGCGATATATGAGAGGAGAGAGACGCTTTGATAAAGATGGGGTTGATAGAAAATCACTACTCACCTCACCCACTCCCACAACAGCCGCGAGACCAAGAGTGAGAGGGAGGGCGTGGTGTGCTGACTCCCCAATGACATTGACGCTTTGATAAAGACGGGTCGAGATTGATGCCAGAGACGGTGGCAGTTGTGGCGAGGCAGCCCAGGAGGGAGAGCAGCATGAGCGGCCAGCGGGAGAGGCTGGTGAGACTTGTGAGCTGCTGACTCGCCAATGCCATAAGGGTCGGGGTAGACACCAGAGACGGTAGCAGTGGTGGCGAGGCATGCGAGAAGCGAGAGGAAGAGAGGCGGAAGGGTGGTACGGGAGAGGTGGAAGAGGCTGAAGAGAGCTGCAGAGAGCATGGCAGCATCGATCCTGAGGGAGAGAGAAGCAGGACAGGGTATAGTGAAGATAAGAAAGTGGGGAGGAATGCAGGAGAGACAATATAAAGTGAGTGAAGATAGGAAAGAATGAGTGAATTTGGATTGATGAAAGAAATTGTGGGCTATGGGAATGAAGGAAATCATCAACCCCAACAAGGTGGTAGCAGTGGATCCTTGCCAAACCTCACTACCGAGCCTCCTGCCGAGCCTCTCACCTACCGAGCTTCTCTTGCAGGGTCATGAGCAGCAGCCCTCTGAACAGCAGCTCCTCTGCTACAGCCGGTGACACCGCCACCCACAGGAAAAACTGTAGCAGGTCCAGCAAAGGCAGGGCCACAGCCGCTGTAGAAGAGGCAGCTGTAGCAGCCACACCCCCTACATTCCCACCCGGCAGCAACAAAGGACCCAGCAACAAGGCTGTAGCACTCATGCTATCCCCTCCGCCTCTTCTTGCTGCTCCTAATCCTGCCGATGCAGCTAGTTCTGCTAATACCTCTTCCCCCACCCCTCCAGCACCTGTTTCAAGAGAGACTAGAGTGAAAAGTAGAGTCCATAGAACAGGACCCCCTACCGCCCCTGCCACAATCACCTTCAACCAGCTACTGTTTCTCCTCGCTAACACTCACCTCTCCCCGTCCCCACATAATTGTACATAATTGCTCATTACAACCACAGAAGCCTATCCGCACCAGCCCTACACGTTGACCCCAAACTTGTCCTCAAACTGCTTATTTGTGAATTGGAGAAACTGCTGCAAACACACCAGTTTCTTTGTCGCCTCTGATTTTACAAGCTGCTTCTCTGTAACAACAACAGCTCTCCCCTCTGACTCATCATTGCCCAGGAAATCCTCAAGCAACAGTTTACTACCACCATCCTCCCCTTGGCACTGTTTGCTCTTGCCTGTCACCTGTTCTTTCTATCTTTCTTTTTCCGCTCCCGATTCAATCCCCTCCACTCCCTCCACTACGTCAGAAAGTGACGAGCAAACAGAACCCAGCTTTCCCCTCTGCTCCTCAGCTCCAATCGAAACACCCCCAGGTTGAATAACCACCTCATGTGCCCCAACCACATAGCCAATTCGCACCAGTGCCACATGTCGCGGTCTGATTCGCCGATCCAAACTGAACCCAAGAAGCAGAGGAAAAGCAAGCACCTCCATTATAGTGAGACCCATGTCCCGTTTTAGGTACTCCAGCTTGGGCTTCAGGTTAGTTTTCCACCTGCAGTAAACAGACGGCGGGTACATCATGATGAAATCCACCAACAACCATCGAGCCCTGCATCTCTTGTCACTTAGTGCTGAGTTAAATGCTCTGGAATCATTTTCCCCTTCCAAGTGACTACCCCCATCACCTCTGGAATCGTTTTCCCCTTCCAAGTGACTACCTCCATCACCTTCCCCCAAACTTTGCGTCCCATTTTCCGCTTCTTCACTGCTCTCCAGTGCTTCTTCCACTTCTCGCACAAGCTCTCTAAACGTCTCCTTCATGCCATCTTCACTTGAACACAATAACGTGGGAAATCGTGCCGCCGCCCGCACAGCATTCTCTCGGCCAATCAAATCACCCAATACCTCCACCTTCCTTTGCAGATTCTCCTTTTATAGTCTCAGAACCATCGAATAAATCCTCACCACTCTTTCCGTTGCCTCCTCCCCCACCAGATCCACAAAGAACTGGAGCTTAGCTAAGAGAGCTTCTGTGGTAAGGCAGAAGATGGTGGGGGCACGACGAAGCACAGAGCTCGCAATGCAGGGTGTGCCTGGGGGAGTGAAGGACTGGAAGATGGCAATATTCTCTGCAACGCGATAAGGAGGACGAGAGAAGATGAATGGACACTGCTGTATAGGCCTACTTAGGTGGTCCTTGTCCAAATGCGGCTCTTCTAGTCGCCGTTGGGCGCTCTGCCTCCTCCCGACTTGGTGCCATCTCTGCGTGCTACTCCTGAGTCCTGACCATGCCGCAATTGCTATGTGCTCACACCCTTTTGTGAGAATCGAGAAGGAAATTGATATTGAGAAAGGATGATTGCACTAGAAAGCATTGGGATACATATAGCAAACCCTAACAGGGTTGTACTCACTACAGAGTACCCCACTGCAGACTAGAGAAACATGATATTCTGACACCTTTTATCAGGACCAAATCGCAGTGCTGCATTAGGCAGGGGATATCTTGTTTAGATAGAGTAGGGTGTATAATGATGGATTAGAAAGGTGATGTTTTGATAATCACACTAACAAATTCCTCCAGTTCCTATGAGTATCAATGTATCTTGCCAATTAAGCGTTTCAAAAATGCTTTTTGAGGAACCAAAATGGGCAGTTTCTATACTTTTAGTGCCCCTTCTTTGACAGGCATTTATTTTTCTTAAACTTCCGTCTCTCTTGGAAATTCCCTTTCCTCTTATTGTCCTTGCTTGCGATGCCCCCTCCATTCCCCTTGCGCTTCCTCTGTTTCGCCTTGGCCTGCTCCTCGGACTGCATGGGTGGTAAATGCGACAATGAGAGGGGTGAACCAGTGGCAAGGGGTGCACGGGTTAGAGCAGGAAGTTGAAAAACTTCAACCCCTACAAGTTGCAAGATGCCAAAGGGGGCACACGCGCTGCATGTTGCGTGCTGATGCGCTGACGTAGCACAAGCACTGGCATGCGTGCGGGCGCCTGGGTGCTCTCACCGGCTCATCAAAGCCACTGAGGCTGCCAGTGCTGTCCTCGGCAGCACCCCCCTGGTTGCCATTATTGAAACAGTCCACGTGCCGCACCGCACCACCACCTGAGGATGCCGTTGCCACGCAGGCCACTCGCATGCATGGCAACACACACACACGCATGGCAACACACACACACGCATGGCCCCACACACACACGCATGGCAACACACACACACACGCATGGCCCCACTCACACACGCATGGCCCCACTCACACACGCATGGCCCCCCACACACGCACACACCATGATGCTTTGTGTGGCAAATTTTGAAGCAGCAACGACCGAAGCGGACACTCTCATTGCTCACACCCATCCCTCTGGCTCCTTCTGTCAAACATATGTTTATATGTTTAAGTTAGATAGGCTGTAGTGGGGTACTCACTGTGGGGTACAACCCCTTAGATTTTTCTTCTTGTACCAACACTCTCGATAGTTGAATTATCCATTGCCTAGCCTTTCGACATGGCATCTAGAGCGTAGGTCCTTAGGACCTAGGATTAGGGCCCACCTCACCTGCCTTGCCTACTGCCCGCGCGCGCCTCGGCTGCCCGCGCGCGGCCCCTTTTTTTTTTTGCCGCGCATGCCTCTTACGCAGCTCGCGCGGCCCGTTTAGGCCCCGCCCGCGCGCCACTTCCGCAGCTCGCGCGGCCCATTTAGGCCCCGCCCGCGCACCACTTACGCCGCCCGAGCGTAGCCCGTTTAGGCCACGCCCGAGCAGCCCGCCGCCGCACGCCGCCCGCAGTCGCGCGAGGCCCGTCGCCACGCGCAGCCACGCAGTCGCGCGCAGCCCATCGCCACGCGCAGCCGGGAGCCGCGCGCAGCTCGTCGCCACGCGCGCTGCCCGCAGCCACGCGCGCAGCCTGCAGCTTAGCGCAGCAAGCCGCCTTCTGCTGCTGCCTGCCTGCCTGCTGCTTGCTGCCTGCTGCCTGCCTGCTGCTGCTGCCTGCTGCTGCCTGCTGCCTGCTGCTGCTGCCTGCTGCCTGCTGCCTGCTGCTGCCTGCTGCAGCCGCTCCTGCCTGCCACCTGCCTGCAGCCTGCCTGCTGCCTGCCTGCTGCCTGCCTGCTGCTTGCTGCCTGCTGCCTGCCTGCTGCTGCTGCCTGCTGCTGCCTGCTGCCTGCTGCTGCTGCCTCCTGCCTGCTGCCTGCTGCCTGCTGCCTGCTGACTGCTGCTGCCTGCTGCAGCCGCTCCTGCCTGCCACCTGCCTGCAGCCTGCCTGCTGCCTGCCTGCTGCCTGCCTGCTGCTTGCTGCCTGCTGCCTGCCTGCTGCAGCCTGCCTGCCACCTGCCTGCTGCCTGCCTGCTGCCTGCCTGCTACTTACTGCCTCCTGCCGCCTGCCTGCTTGCTGCCTGCTACTGCCTGCCTGCCACCTGCCTCCTACCTGGTGCCTGCTGCCTCTGTCTGCTGCCTGCTGCCTGCTGCCTCCTGCCTTAAGCCAATATGGCGACGCCCAACGTTCTCGCATTCGAGCCTGACGGTCGTCCCCTCGAGTTCGCTGTGTGGTTAGACGATCTCCAGCTGTTCCTTCTGACTGATGCCAAAGAGGGCGTTTCCCTGTTTGATTACGTCTCTGGCACTGCCGTTACTCCTGCTGCTGATGCTCCTGCTCTAGAACGCTCCCAGTGGCAGACTCGTGATGCTGCTGCACGCCTAGCTATTAGGAACCACCTGCCGATTACTGAGCGAGCGCACTTCAGCCAGCACAGAACTGCTAAGACACTGTACGACGCTGTAGTTGCGCGCTACTCCTCCCTGGCCACTGCAGCCATAGGTCGACTCATGCTACCGTACCTGTTCCCCGATCTTTCCTCGTTCACCACTGCTGAGAACCTAGTTTCTCACCTACGTGCTACTGACTCTCGCTTTCGTGCCGCTCTTTCAGCCGAGTTCTGCGCCGCAAACCCCCCCCCGATCTACTTCACTCTCTATTTCCTCGTCACCCGCCTCCCTGACACTCTTAGCTCTGTCAGGGACCACTTCCTAGCGCTAGACCCCACCACTCTCACTGTCGACGACTTCGAGAAGCACCTCCTCGCAGCAGAGAAAAACATCCTCGCTGTAGGTGCTGCTCGTGGCACCCCTTGCTCTCCCCTCTTTGAGGGGTGCTCCCCCTCCCCTCTCACCCCCTCCTATGCCTCCGCAGCTGCTGTTCACGACTACCTTGGTGCTGAGGGGGTCGGAGCTGCTTCCTCTCCTAGTGGGAAGCGTCGCAGCGGCAGGGGCGGCAGGGGTGGCAGGGGCGGTGGGGGTGGCGGTGGAGGTGGCGGTGGTGCAGGCGGCGGGGGAGGTGGAGGTGGTGGGGGTGGTCGTGGGGGTGGAGGCGGTGGAGGTGGTGGTGGGGGCGGCGGAGGCACTGGGAGCGGTGGAGGGGGCAGTAGCGGCGGTGGGGGAGGAGGGGGCAGTAGTGGCATTGGTGGTCAGGGCCAGCAGCAGCCGCAGCAGCAGCAGCAGCAGCAGCAGCATCAGCGTCAGCGCCAGACCCCCACTTCCCAGCAGCTTCTTGACTGGTATGCCGGGCGTGGGGCTTCTGGGGGTCCTGGTCGCTGCCCCTATATCATCCGCGCAGGTCCCCGCGCTGGTCGCCAGTGCACAGGTTTTCACACTGAGCAGCGCTTCTTCGCTCGGCTTAGCGACGCCTGGCGCGCCAAGTTTCCTGATGCTACTGAGTTCCCCAACTGGGCAGACTTGCTTAGACGTGATGTACCTATCTTTGATCTTGACTATGAGGCAATTCTTGCTGCTATGTATGCATTGTCTGTTAGTGCTGAGGTTGACTGCTACTTGTGTGTGCCGCCGGCTCCTGGTATAGTCCCTGGTATAGCCCCTGCAGCACTTGGTGCTTGTGAGTCTGCTCCCCCTGGTACTGCGCCTGCACAGGCCTTGCACACCTTTACACTTGACTCTGGTGCTTCCCGCTGTTTCTTTCGCGACAGTACCACAGTCACTCCCCTCCCTGCACCTGTTCCTGTCTCACTGGCTGACCCCTCTGGGGGCCCAGTGCTTGCACGGTCTTCCACTGTGCTTCCGTGTCCGGCGGTCCCGTCTGGTGAGCTGTCTGGTCTCCACCTCCCTGTTGGTGCAACCCTACGGTTTGCACTCGGCTTGTTGTCCGTGTGCGTGAATGTGTGTGTGTATGGAATGGTATGAGGGCATGGGATAATATATATTTCATGCTTATAATTGTGTGTGAATGTTGAGTCATGATGTCGAGTGTGTGTGTCGAGTCAATAGCGAGTTATCGCTAGACGCGTGTTACGCGGTCGTTTGTGTCTCGCGCGCGGTTTCTATTTTGTCGTGCGCGGTTTCTATTTTGTCATGTGTCGAACGTTCGGCGTGTCGCAGGTGTGTGCAGCACACCCATCAAGAACTCAAGGATGAGTTTGTGATGAAGAGCCCGAGCCTTGGTGTCAAGCCTCAAGTGATTTCGAAGCTCGCCAAAAAGGGTACACCTCAAGATATTGAAGATAGTTACATTACTTTGTGTAGTGTAACATTTCACTTGGTGTAGGCCCTAGTGAAGGGTAGTTTCGAGACCCTTCGTGGTTGGGGACAGTGTGGCACTGTTCCACATCACTGTACCTCGGCTCTTGGGGTTTGTAGGAGCTGGGAGTCATTCCCAACTCGTAACTCTTCCTATCTTGTGTTCTAAGACTATAGTGGCTGCCATAGTACCATTCGTTCAAACCGACGCTGTGTCGTCAATTCTTTATCAAATCGTGCAATCTAAATTTCTTATTGTAGACGACGTGAAGACGCTCCAGATCCAATTCGAATCAAGTCATTTGCAGCTGTGAGATGAACGCTATCAACGTTTGAAGCCGCTGTGCAGAAATCCGTCTGTGCTCTCTATCTTTCGTTTTAGGCACATTCAAGCCTATTGTGACTATAACAAGTGGTATCAGAGCGAAAGGTCTCCGGTTCGAATCCCAGTGTGCGCCAAGCGAGCGCCAGTGCCCAAACGAGCCCCAAGTGAGGGGGAGACGACCCCAGTGAGGGGGAGATTGTTGGTGGGGCACTGGGATCGTCCCGAGTTAAGTGTGGGAGGGCTACAGGCGCGGCCTGGGGGGTTATGGGTGTGCTACCCACCATACAAACATGCCCTTTTAACCCAGTCGGTAGCAGGCTGGGCCAACAAGTGGTATCAGAGCCCCTTGTAGCAGTTTCGACAATGTCTGGACCTGAGGAAAGGGGTGGCAGAGGTGCTGGTGGTAGTGGAGAAGCTCAAGCTCAAGGCCAACCCCGTGATTCAGCCATGGCGCCCATGCAACCAAGTCTTGGCCCACCTAGGGATGAGCCTAGGGTGTTTGGGCTTGACAAGTTCAACGGTGACAACTTTGCTGAATGGTCCTTCAAGATGGAGAACATCTTTGACCACTATGACCTGCTGGAGGTGATGGAAGGAACGGAGAAGCGCCCCGAGAACGACCCGGAGAAGAGCCCGTGGGTGCGGAAGAGCGCACAAGGCTATCTCTTACTTGGGCAAGCGTTGGGGAGCAGTCAGATCCGTCACATCAAGCCATTCCAGCGTGAACCAGAGAAAGGACCAAAGGCATGGGCTGCTCTCAAGGGTGTACATGCTCCTGCAACAGCGGCGGTAGCGGTGGTGTTGGAACGGCAAATGGCGGCACTACGAATTGAAGAAGACGAAGCGGTTGAAGAAGGGGTGCAGAAATTCTTCGACTTGTTGACGCGGCTTGAGGGAGCTGATTTGAACTACAGTGAGCTCCAAAAGAAGACCAAGTTGCTGGCCTTACTCCCAGAGTCATGGTCCTCGCTCATCATCAACCTTAATCGCGACTTGCCCCGCCTCTCGCTTGAAGACGTGAAGCGAGCTATCCTTCAAGAGGATTTCCGCCGCCGTGAGTTGGCGAGTGCGGATGGCGCTGGGGCAGCGAGCATCGGCCGTGGATATGGTCGAGGAAGAGGCAGAGGACGAGGGGGAGGAAGGTTTGGTGGCAGCAACTTCGGCGGAGGCCGCAGGAGTGGCGGTTACGGCAGCGACGACAAGAGCTACGGACGCGGTCGCGGCCGATTCGACGGCGAGTGTCACTATTGCCACAAGAGCGGACACATGTGGCGCGACTGCTACAAACTCCCTGATGGCTGGACCCCTGCTCAAGGCCAAGAGGGTAGAGGAGCAGGAGGAGGGAGAGGACGAGGCCGTGGAGGCCGTGGAGGTCGCGGTGGCGGAGCTGCAAACATGAAGAGCGGAGACAACGACAAGGACCCGAGCGACGATCGATACCCGGGTCTATTCTACTTCGTGTCGACGCAAGTACCGGCTGGTCCAGAGAAGGATGAAGGCTTTGAGGAGCCAGCAGCTGTGGGGAAGGTGACCCTACACCCCCTGGACTATTGGGTGATTGATAGTGGCGCTACCTATAGCATGACACCTCGCCCGGACTTGCTCACCGAACTCGAGCCGTCACCGGTGAAGCATGTCACATCGGCTTTGGGGCAGCGAGCAGAGGTGAAAGGCATGGGCAAGGCCATGTTCAAGGGTGCTGATGGGAAGATGGTGGGCCTCAAGAACGTGCTTTGGGTGCCCAGCCTTGCTGCAAACCTGATTTCCGTGCGGCGGTTGGCAAAGGCTGGCATGGACACGAACTCGAAGGGAGCCAAGACCTACACCGCAAGGCTTGGCGATCGAATTCTTTGGGACCTTCATGAGGACAGGGATGTCTACAACGAGATGTGGCAGATCCCAGTAGTCCCTATGCCTAAGGAGAGGCAAGTGGCAGCAAGCATCAGCACCAAGGATGGAGCGGTCGGTAGCGACGATGGCGCGAACGGTCGCGCTAAGGAGAATGAGCTCAAGAAGAGCAAACCTGGAGGGACCAGCAAGTTTAGTGAACCTAAGGAGAGTGGTGCAGCAACCAAGGAGCAGAAAAAGGGTGAGGAGAACCCAGAGGCAGCAGCGGAGGAGGACTACGGAGAGAGTATGTGGGGCGCTATTGCGAGCGCGGCATTCTCCAATCCAACTTCGGCTACGGGGGAGTGTGATTGGCTCACCTTGCATCGGCGCATGGGGCATGTGGCCCTGCCCATCTTGCAGCAGCTAGTGAAGAATGAGATGGTTGCTGGCATACGTGTGAAGGGGGAGCCCGATGAGGTGCTTGGCTGCCCGACGTGCATTCAAGCCAAGTTCACCCGGTTTCCGTTCCCTAGTTCGGAGGCAACGGCAAAGGCACCGCTTGATGAGGTGGTGATGGACGTGGTGGGCCCCCTGAAGCTTGGAGCTGCTGGAGCTGAGTATTTTCTCACCATTGTCGACGTCTACACCCGCATGACTTGGGTGTACGTGCTGGCCAAGAAGAGCGACGTGGCTGAAACGTTGAAGACGGATTGGTTCCCGATGGTGGAGCGGCAACAAGACCGTCTAGTCAAGTCAATCCGCACCGATCGAGGGGGAGAGTTCCTGAGCAAGGAGTTTGGGTTGTGGCTGAAGAAGAATGGTATTCGGCACTCCCTCACCATGCCATACTCCCCTGCAATGAACGGCATCGCCGAGCGAGCGAACCGCACAATCACGGAGGCGGCACGCGGGTTGCTCATTGAAGCCGGGCTACCCGACTATTTCTGGCCTGATGCGGTGCGGAGCGCGTGTGTGGCCAAGAACAGAGCCTTGACTCATGTGGGAGCAGACAAATGGGTGCCCTATGTGGAGTGGCTAGGAAGGAAGCCAAAGGTGGATATGCTTCGGGTGTTCGGGTGCATGTGCATGGCGCTCGTGCCTAAGCATCTTCGGCACAACAAGCTTGGTGCCAAGGCGGTGTGGGCCGTGCACTTGGGCATGGCTCAAAACAGCAAGGGATGGCTTCTTTGGGACCCATTCACCAAGAAGTTCTTGGTGAGCAGGGACTGCAAGTTCATGGAGAACTTCATGTACAAGGATTGGAAGGCGGAGAATGAGGCGAAGATAGGCGTGCGGTTTGGGGAGGTGAAGAGTTCCGGTTTGGAGCATGTGGAGCTGCCTTTGGAGCTGAGCAGTGGCAGCACAACCACAAGGCAATCCTCCCTTGTGAATGGGGGAGAGGAGGCCAATGATGCAGAGGAAGAAGAGGAGGAGGTGCAGCAAGTGAGCGAGCGTGCACCGTCACTCCCTTCCCGTACTACGAGTGCTCCACGGATTCGAGCCACACCGCAGCAACGCCAAGGCCTTCAAGTCCCTGCAGCTGAGGAGGAAGGAAGGGGGAAGAGGAGAGTTCAACCCCCTAATAGGCTGACCTATGATGCGCCGGGAAAGCAGGGCAAGACAGCCCTGGCCGGAGCGGCAATGATGGTCGGAGACGACGAGGAGAGTGACTACGAGGAGTGTGCCTTCGCGTTCTTCTCTCCGGTGGAGATGCCGGGAGAACCAGCAACTCTCAAGGAGGCTTTGGAGAGTAGTGATGCTGAGGAGTGGAAGAAGGCCATGGAGAGTGAGCTGAAGCGCATCGAGGAGAATGACACGTTTGAATTGGTGGAGCTACCGGAGGGGCGTACGGCGATAACGTCCAAGTGGCTCTTCAAAATCAAGTCGGATGCCGACGGCAAGATCGAGCGCTACAAGTCTAGGCTTGTAGCCAAGGGGTACCAGCAGAAGGAGAAGGTGGACTTCAAGGAGCTGTTTGCCCCTGTGGTGAAGCCGACGACGCTGCGAACCCTATTCGCGGGAGCCGCCATCAAAGGATGGGTAGTAAAGCAAATGGACATCGTAACGGCATTCCTTAACGGCATCCTTGAGGAGGAGATTTTTATGGCGCAGCCAGAGGGGTTTGATGATGGTAGTGGCAGAGTGTGGAAGCTGAAGAAGGCCCTCTATGGGCTGAAGCAGGCCCCTAGGCAATGGTACATGAAGCTGCGCGAAGTGTTGGAGGGGATCGGCTTCACTCCCTCAACGGCCGATCACTCCTTGTTCATGCTTGGCGAGGGGGAGCAGAGGAGTTTCATGGTGGTTTATGTGGATGACATCCTCATTTTCTCACCCTCTTCTGACCTTGTGAAGGAGGTGATGCTGAAGCTTCAAGACAAGTTCAAGTGCAAGGCCCTTGGTGACGTGAGCTTCTACCTTGGGCTCCACATCGAACGAGATGTGGAGAAGCGGTGCATGCGGGTGCATCAACGAAAGTACCTGGAGGCATTGGCTGCCAAATTTGGGCAGAGTGAAGGCCATGTGGCTACACCCTTTCCCTCTGGGTTCAAGTGTGTGAAGGGACCAGAGGAGGAGAGCGTTGGTGAAGAGGAGAGGCGCCGATTTCACTCGTTGGTGGGCAGCCTCATGTATGCGGCGGTAAACACCCGACCGGACGTCGCGTTTGCTACCGGGCAGCTGGCTAGGGTTGTGCAATGCCCTAATGAGGAGCAGGTAGCAGCTGGAATGAGGGTGGCCAAGTATCTTGGCCAAACACCGACCGTTGGGCTGCAATACTCGGCGGCGGCACAAAGGCGCCAAAAGGGCGCGGATGGTGTTGAACCCGGGCGTTTGTTCCTCACCGCCTACTCGGATGCTTCATATGCATCAGAACCAGAGGACATGACAAGTGTGGGAGGCTTCATATGCTGTGTTGGTGGAGGCCCAACTGCTTGGGAGAGCAAGAAGCAGGTTGACCAAGCTTTGAGCTCGGTGGAGTCCGAGTACATGGCACTCTTCCGTGCCGTACGGGAGATTGTGTGGCAGCGGCGTTTGTTGGCTGAATTGGGGGAGGAGCAGCAAGGACCTACCCCACTGTACTGTGACAGCCAGGGTGCCATTGCTCTTGCTAAGAACCCTGTGTTGCATGGACTCACGAAGCACATGAGGGTGAAGTGGCATTGGACGAGGAGCATGGTAACCGCGGGTGAAGTTGAGTTGCGCTACGTGAAGACCACGGGGCAGCCGGCTGACATGATGACCAAGAGGCTGGTGGAGCAGCAGCATTGGAAGTGTTGCAAGCTGGCTGGGATGGCTCTGAACTGAGAGAGCAACATATCCTAAGGCCAACAATCCGAGGGGGAGTTTGTTGGTGCAACCCTACGGTTTGCACTCGGCTTGTTGTCCGTGTGCGTGAATGTGTGTGTGTATGGAATGGTATGAGGGCATGGGATAATATATATTTCATGCTTATAATTGTGTGTGAATGTTGAGTCATGATGTCGAGTGTGTGTGTCGAGTCAATAGCGAGTTATCGCTAGACGCGTGTTACGCGGTCGTTTGTGTCTCGCGCGCGGTTTCTATTTTGTCGTGCGCGGTTTCTATTTTGTCCTGTGTCGAACGTTCGGCGTGTCGCAGGTGTGTGCAGCACACCCATCAAGAACTCAAGGATGAGTTTGTGATGAAGAGCCCGAGCCTTGGTGTCAAGCCTCAAGTGATTTCGAAGCTCGCCAAAAAGGGTACACCTCAAGATATTGAAGATATTTACATTACTTTGTGTAGTGTAACATTTCACTTGGTGTAGGCCCTAGTGAAGGGTAGTTTCGAGACCCTTCGTGGTTGGGGACAGTGTGGCACTGTTCCACATCACTGTACCTCGGCTCTTGGGGTTTGTAGGAGCTGGGAGTCATTCCCAACTCGTAACTCTTCCTATCTTGTGTTCTAAGACTATAGTGGCTGCCATAGTACCGTTCGTTCAAACCGACGCTGTGTCGTCAATTCTTTATCAAATCGTGCAATCTAAATTGCTAATTGTAGACGACGTGAAGACGCTCCAGATCCAATTCGAATCAAGTCATTTGCAACTGTGGGCAGAACGCTATCAACGTTTGAAGCCGCTGTGCAGAAATCCGTCTGTGCTCTCTATCTTTCGTTTTAGGCACATTCAAGCCTATTGTGACTATAACACTCCCCTCGTTCTCTACGAACTTGGTGAGTAACGCTGTCCTCCAGGATGCGGGGGTTGACACCTTCACCCCTGGCCGGCAGCGTGTGGCGATTTGCACGTGCTCCCAGACTGGTCGCCACCTGGCCACGTTCACTCGTGCGCCAGGATCCAGTCTGTACACCCTCACCACTGCGTCGCACTCCGCCCCTTTGTCTCCCCAGTTGCACGCTTCTGCTCAGGTTGCTACACAGTGTGAATGTCGCCGGCTGTCGCACGACACTCTCCTGTGGCACCACCGCCTTGGTCACCCCTCCCTGCCTCGCCTTCGTAGCATGCATTCTCGCTTCCTTGTTTCTGGTCTTCCCAGGTCTCTGCCTCCCCTCCCTCCCTCGCCTGCACCGCCCTGCATTCCTTGTGTCGAGGGGCGGCAGCGCGCCGCTCCTCACTCCTCCTCGTTCCCTCCCACAGAGGCTCCACTGCAGACTCTCCACCTGGACGTGTGGGGCCCAGCCCGCGTCCGTGGACCGGGCCACGAGCGGTACTTCCTGCTGGTTGTCGACGACTACACGCGTTACACCACGGTCTTCCCCTTGCAGCGCAAGGGGGATGTCCCTGCTGTTCTGATCCCCTGGATCCGCGCTACTCGTCTCCAGCTCCGCGAGCCGTTCCAGACGGACTTTCCTGTCCTGCGTCTGCACTCTGACCGAGGTGGTGAGTTCTCCTCAGACCTCTTGGCAGCCTTCTGTGCGGAGCACGGCATCCGCCAGACGTTCACGCTTCCGGCCTCTCCGCAGCAGAATGGGGTTGCTGAGCGCCGCATTGGCTTAGTCATGGAGGTCGCTCGTACCTCCATGATCCATGTGGCTGCCCCCCATTTTCTGTGGCCGTTTGCGGTCAGGTACGCCGCGCATCAGCTAAACCTTTGGCCCCGTGTCTCCTTGCCGGAGACCTCGCCCACACTGCTGTGGACGGGGAAGGTTGGCGACGCGTCGCGTTTCCGAGTCTGGGGTGCTCGTGCCTTTGTCCGCGATACCGCTGCGGACAAGCTCTCCCCTCGCGCCATTCCTTGTGTCTTCCTTGGCTTTGTCCCTGACGCGCCTGGCTGGCAGTTTTACGACCCCGCCTCGCGCCGTGTCTTTGCGTCTCAGGATGTCACCTTTGACGAGTCGGTCCCCTTTTACCGCCTCTTCCCCTACCGCACTGCTCCTCCCCCCCCCCGCCGCTCTTTCTTGCCCCAGGTCCTCCCCAGGTAGACCCCCTCCCCGCACCAGGTCCTGCTCCTTCAGGTGTCTCTCAGGTAGACCCCCCCGCGCCTGCGCCTGTTGAGGTCACTGGTGACTCAGGTCCTCCTGCTAGTGGTGATGTCCCTGGGGGTGCGGAGCTTGGGGGTGCTGAGTCTGGGGGCGCTGAGCGTGTGGAGCCTGGAGGTGCTGAGCCTACGCGTGAGGAGCCTGGAGGTGCTGCGTCTGGGGGTGCTCCGTCTGGAGGTGTTGCGTCTGGGGGTGCTGAGCCTGCGTGTGCGGAGCCTGGGGGTGCTGAGTCTGGGGGTGAGTCGCCTGAGGGTTCTGAGACTGCTGTTACGCGGTCTCCCTGGAGCAGTCGTCTTCGTTCGCGTGTGCCCCTTACCTCCCAGCAGCTGCACGACTGGTACGGTCGCCGTCAGCGTCGCACTTCTGCACCTCTGGGCTCTACTGCTGGGGGTTCTTCTGCTGGTGTCGCTGGTCCCGGAGGTGCTCGTACTGGGGGTACTGGAGCTGCTGGGGCTGGCGGTGTTGCTGCTGGAGGTGCTGGAGGTGCTGGAGGTGCTGGAGGTGCTGAGGGTCCTGCGGTTGCTGGCGGTACTGGACCTGCTGAGGGTCCTGGAGCTACTGGCGGTGCTGGAGCTGCTGAGGGTCCTGGAGCTGCTGGAGGTACTGGAGCTGCTGGAGGTGCTGGAGCTGCTGGTGGTGCTGGAGCTACTGGTGCTGGTGGCATTGCTCAGCCGCGCCTGTTCTTCGCTCCGCCGTCCTCGTCGTCTCAGCCACCACCTGACTCTGCACTTCGCCAGGTTCTCAGTCTTCCCTCGTCTACTGGTCTTCCGTTACAGCCTGGCTCACCGCTGCCTGCTCCTTCTCCGTACACAGAGCAGACTAGTGGCCTTGCAGAGCGTCATGAGCCTGCGTCGCGTCCTGTCTCACCTGTCCGTTCTGGTCGTTCCGGTCGTCGTGTTCCTAGTCAGAGACAGCCGACTGTCTCCGACCCTCACCTTGTAGTTCGTCGTCCTTCCTCTCCTTCGTCGCGTGTTCCTCTGCTGCCTCCCCCTGCGTCCTCTCTGCCTGTCGTTGCTGACCCTGCGTCTGACCTGTTTCGTGCTGAGCACTCTACTGTCCCGCGTCTGCTTGCCACTGTTGTCACTGACCCGTCGTTTGAGTCTGCTGCTGCGTCTGCCTTAGTCGCTGAGCTTGTTGACTTTGCTGCTCACTGTCGTCTAGACTACGCCGCCAGTCTTGTTGCTGAGTCTGAGTCTGTCTGTCCTCCGTCCGTCGGGGGTGAGTGTGCTCTTGGCACGGACGTCCTTGAGGACAGGCAGGAGGACCTTGAGTGTCTTGAAGCCGCTGCGCCTCATCTCGTGTCCATGCTGCTTGCCCCTGAGGGAGACCCGGATGCACCAGACATCCCTACCCCGCGCTCTTACGCTGAGGCGATCGCGGGTGAGTACTCCTCTCAGTGGCAGACAGCCATGGACGCAGAGATGGCATCCTGGAAGTCTACAGGCACTTACGTTGACGAGGTTCCCCCTCCTGAGGCGAACATTGTCAGTGGCATGTGGATTTTCAGGGTGAAGCGGCCTCCAGGTTCTCCGCCTGTCTTCAAGGCTCGTTACGTGGCTCGAGGCTTCAGTCAGCGAGAGGGAGTTGACTTCTTTCAGACCTTCTCCCCCACCCCGAAGATGACCACTCTTCGGGTGCTGCTGCATGTTGCCGCTCAGCGTGACTACGAGTTTCACTCTCTTGACTTCAGCACAGCCTTCTTACAGGGCAGCTTGCACGAGGAGATCTGGCTGCGCCGCCCTCCTGGCTTCACTGGGTCGTTCCCTCCTGGTACCCAGTGGAGCCTCCAGCGGCCAGTCTACGGTCTCCGCCAGGCGCCACGTGAGTGGCACGACACACTGAGGACGACACTTGCGGCTCTTGGGTTTGCTCCGTCGACTGCTGACCCGTCGCTGTTTCTGCGCACCGACACTTCGCTGCCGCCGTTCTACATCCTCGTGTACGTCGACGACTTGGTCTTTGCCACTGCTGACACTGAGGCTCTCGCCCTGGTGAAGTCGGAGCTGCAGAAGAGACACACGTGCACAGACCTGGGTGAGCTGCATAGCTATCTTGGCTTGCAGATCACTCGGGACAGAGCACGCCGCACCATCACACTGACTCAGTCACACATGGTGCAGCAGGTCCTTCAGCGCTTCGGCTTCACCTGGTCCTCAGCACAGCCCACTCCTCTGGCTACAGGTCACTCGCTCTCAGCTCCACCTTCGGACGAGTCCGTAGAGCCGAGTGGTCCTTACCCAGAGCTAGTGGGCTGCCTCATGTACCTGATGACCTGCACTCGTCCTGACCTTGCGTACCCTCTTGGTCTTCTGGCTCGCTACGTGGCTCCTGGTCGGCACCGAAAGGTGCACATGGATGCTGCTAAGAGGGTACTACGCTACTTGTGCAGTACATCGGGCATGGGGCTCGTGCTTGGAGGACGGGGTGACGTTGTCCTCACTGGTCACTCGGACGCCTCTTGGGTTGACGACCAGGCTACGCAGCGGTCGTCACAGGGTTACACCTTCAGCCTTGGTTCTGGTTCAGTTTCCTGGCGTTCTACACGTTCGTCTTCAGTTCTCAGCTCCAGCTGTGAGGCAGAGATCTACGCCACAGCCATGGCTGCGCAGGAGCTACGCTGGCTCACCTACCTGCTGACCGACTTGGGAGAGCGGCCTCGTTCTCCTCCAGTTCTACAAGGCCGCCATCGCCTTGTGTCAGGAGCACAGACTGGAGCACAGAACAAAGCACATCGCTCTCCGTTACTTCCTTGCTCGAGAGCTGCAGCAGCGTGGCCAGCTTCGTCTTACTTACGTGGCCACTCGGGCCAACACTGCTGATATATTCACCAAGGCGCTTCCGCCTGGTGATCATCAGCGTTTCTGTACTTTGTTAGGCCTTGTGCCCACGCTTCCTCACTTGCTGTAGGCTTTGTTTGTACTGTGATCTATATGTATACCTGCATGCTTGCTCTTGTAGGCTGATATCAATGTGCTGTTGTTGTTACACATATATCTCTGCATGTGAACTGGCCTTGTGGCCTCTTGCTTGTGCTCAGATTGCGTGGTGACGTTGTGATCCACCCTGAGCTTGCTTTGCATTTCCTGTCTGGCCTTGTGACCCTCTGTTCTCCCCCACTTTGCCTATGGGGGTGTGTCAAACATATGTTTATATGTTTAAGTTAGATAGGCTGTAGTGGGGTACTCACTGTGGGGTACAACCCCTTAGATTTTTCTTCTTGTACCAACACTCTCGATAGTTGAATTATCCATTGCCTAGCCTTTCGACTCCTTCATGCAACTCCGCCCTTCTCACTCTCCTGCCTGGCTTTCTTCCACTATCCATCTACCCACTTATCCCACTTCTTTCCTTCTCCCTCCTTCCCCTCCTTCACTTTCCAATCCCATCATCCCACCATCGCACCCGGTGCATGCGCGCCACTTGCCCCCTGCTCGCATGCCCTCCTTCCCCCCTCCCGCCCTCCCCAACCGTATAGCACGGCGAGCCCAGAACCCCCACGCATTTCTCCCCGGACCACTGTGGATCGCCCGCACATTGAGTGCGCTCCACGCCCGCGCGCCCCTCACCTGCCACGAGCGTCGCCTGCGCGTTCCTCACCGCCACCTCCACCAGCCGCGGGTCCAGCGCCCCCCTCCCTCGCCCCCCTCGGCGCTCGCCGCCAGCCGCCGCTGCAGGAACCGCGAGAGGGCCGCCGCTTTGTTCGTCGCCAGTGGGCCCCCGGGATGTGCCTGCCTGCCATGGTGGATGTGGGGGGGGGATTGGGGAAAGGAGGGGGATGGGTTATGTAGGGGTGGGGGGAAAATGGGGGAGGTGCATCCGCTGCGCCACCTTGACACCCTCATTTTGACCCTCGGCCCGTAGTGGAGCAGACGACAGAAAATTGAGCGACGGATTAAATCGCAGGCGGTGGACGATGGGGCCGATGAGGAGTAAGAGCGGCGACTCACCGTGCAGTCGCTGCAGCTGCGGAGTGCGAGGAGCGCGGTGGACTGGGAAGTCGCGCCGCGGAAAATCGACTGGCGCGAAGGGCTCGGCGCTCGTCGTCCGTGAGTTGTTCGACTTCCGATACTCGCTGCATTGGCCGCGCAGTGGCGTGCGAGCAGATGTCGCAGGGGTACCTATGCTGGAAGACACCAAGACCAGTGGAGAGCCCTTCATTGGAGTGGAGTGGGTTCCATTAGGACGCGTCACCTCCCTCGATCGATCGTGCAAAACTTAGGAAGATCGATCGTCCACCGCACTAAAACCCTGAGGACGGGCCGACGTACTACTTACCCCCCCGACTATGTTTCCTTCATCGATTTGGATTGCGACACACCGCTTTGAAGCATTCAAACACTGGCACGCCCTGCTTGCATCTGTTCCTGTTCTAAGGGCGTGTCCAGCGCGTACGTTACACTACACTAGCATCTGCAGTTACCGCATTTTCACTATGTAACAACTATTTCACATAATTTTTGGCCTCGCACACCTCGTGAACGTAAAACACGGACACTGCTTACACGTGCGTTGAATTATGAACATGACATGACACATCATTCACGCAAAATACCCTGAGAATAAGGGTTTTTTTAATCAGAGTAAATTACTCTGTTTCTCTAAACATCAGAGTCTGGCATTTCTGAGTAATATTTTTGGAAGGTCGACATTCTCTAATTGCCAGGGTTTTGTTTCTCGGTGTTCGCCCGGTGCTCATGGCTAGAGAGTGGAATGATTCGTTCAGCCAGCTTCCTGCGACAAGGACGTAAGGCCGCATCTCGTCTGCACTACAGTGAGTGGCCAGCCACTTCTTCACTGCCATGTGGGTCTCACTTCTTCTGACTTCTTCGACCCTTCACTTCTTCTAACAGGATTTGGACAAGGGTAGCAAGGGGGAGGGAGAATGATAGGGGTAGCAAGGGGGAAGGCAAAATGACATGGGTAACAAGGGAGAAGGGAGAATGATAGGGGTAGCAAGGGGGAAGGCAAAATGACATGGGTAACAAGGGAGAAGGGAGAATGATAGGGGTAGCAAGGGGGAAGGCAAAATGACATGGGTAACAAGGGAGAAGGGAGAATGATAGGGGTAGCAAGGGGGAAGGCAAAATGACATGGGTAGCGGGGGGAATGGAGAATGACAAGAGTAGCAGGGGGGGAAGGGTGGATGACAGGGGAAGCAAGGGGGAAGGGAGAGTGACAAGGGTAGCAGGGGGAAGGGAGAATGATAGGGGTAGCAAGGGGGAAGGGAGAATGATAGGGGTAGCAAGGGGAAAGGGAGAATGACATGGGTAACAAGGGAGAAGGGAGAATGATAGGGGTAGCAAGGGGGAAGGGAGAATGACATGGGTAGCGGGGGGAATGGAGAATGACAAGAGTAGCAGGGGGGGAAGGGTGGATGACAGGGGAAGCAAGGGGGAAGGGAGAGTGACAAGGGTAGCAGGGGGAAGGGAGAATGATAGGGGTAGCAGGGGGAAGGGAGAATGATAGGGGTAGCAGTGGGGAGGGAGAATGACATGGGGTAGCAGGGGGAAGGGAGAATGATAGGGGTAGCAGTGGGAAAGGGAGAATGACATGGGTAACAAGGGAGAAGGGAGAATGATAGGGGTAGCAAGGGGGAAGGGAGAATGATAGGGGTAGCAAGGGGGAAGGGAGAATGATAGGGGTAGCAAGGGGGAAGGGAGAATGACAGGAGTAGCGGGGGGAATGGAGAATGACAAGAGTAGCAGGGGGAAAGGTGGATGACAGGGGAAGCAAGGGGGAAGGGAGAGTGACAAGGGTAGCAGGGGGAAGGGAGAATGATAGGGGTAGCAAGGGGAAGGGAGAATGATAGGGGTAGCAAGGGGAAGGGAGAATGATAGGGGTAGCAAGGGGAAGGGAGAATGATAGGGGTAGCAGGGGGAAGGGAGAATGATAGGGGTAGCAAGGGGGAAGGGAGAATGATAGGATTAGCAAGGGGGAAGGGAGGATGACATGGGTAACAAGGGAGAAGGGAGAATGATAGGGGTAACAAGGGGGAAGGGAGAATGACAGGATTAGCAAGGGGGAAGGGAGGATGACATGGGTAACAAGGGAGAAGGAAGAATGATAGGGGTAGCAAGGGGAAAGGGAGAATGACATGGGTAGCGGGGGGAATGGAGAATGACAAGAGTAGCAGGGGGGGAAGGGTGGATGACAGGGGAAGCAAGGGGGAAGGGAGAGTGACAAGGGTAGCAGGGGGAAGGGAGAATGATAGGGGTAGCTAGGGGGAATGGAGAATGATAGAGGTAGCAAGGGGAAAGGGAGAATGACATGGGTAACAAGGGAGAAGGGAGAATGATAGGGGTAGCAAGGGGGAAGGGAGAATGATAGGGGTAGCAGGGGGAAGGGAGAATGATAGGGGTAGCGGGGGGAATGGAGAATGACAAGAGTAGCAGGGGGGGAAGGGTGGATGACAGGGGAAGCAAGGGGGAAGGGAGAGTGACAAGGGTAGCAGGGGGAAGGGAGAATTATAGGGGTAGCAAGGGGGAATGGAGAATGATAGGGGTAGCAAGGGGAAAGGGAGAATGACATGGGTAACAAGGGAGAAGGGAGAATGATTGGGGTAGCAAGGGGGAAGGGAGAATGATAGGGGTACCAGGGGGAAGGGAGAATGATAGGGGTAGCAAGGGGAAAGGGAGAATGACATGGGTAACAAGGGAGAAGGGAGAATGATAGGGGTAGCAAGGGGGAAGGGAGAATGACATGGGTAGCGGGGGGAATGGAGAATGACAAGAGTAGCAGGGGAGGAAGGGTGGATGACAGGGGAAGCAAGGGGGAAGGGAGAGTGACAAGGGTAGCAGGGGGAAGGGAGAATGATAGGGGTAGCAAGGGGGAAGGGAGAATGATAGGGGTAGCAAGGGGAAAGGGAGAATGACATGGGTAGCGGGGGGAACGGAGAATGACAAGAGTAGCAGGGGGGGAAGGGTGGATGACAGGGGAAGCAAGGGGGAAGGGAGAGTGACAAGGGTAGCAGGGGGAAGGGAGAATGATAGGGGTAGCAAGGGGGAATGGAGAATGATAGGGGTAGCAAGGGGAAAGGGAGAATGACATGGGTAACAAGGGAGAAGGGAGAATGATTGGGGTAGCCAGGGGGAAGGGAGAATGATAGGGGTAGCAGGGGGAAGGGAGAATGATAGGGGTAGCAAGGGGAAAGGGAGAATGACATGGGTAACAAGGGAGAAGGGAGAATGATAGGGGTAGCAAGGGGGAAGGGAGAATGACATGGGTAGCGGGGGGAATGGAGAATGACAAGAGTAGCAGGGGGGGAAGGGTGGATGACAGGGGAAGCAAGGGGGAAGGGAGAGTGACAAGGGTAGCAGGGGGAAGGGAGAATGATAGGGGTAGCAAGGGGGAAGGGAGAATGATAGGGGTAGCAAGGGGAAAGGGAGAATGACATGGGTAGCGGGGGGAATGGAGAATGACAAGAGTAGCAGGGGGGGAAGGGTGGATGACAGGGGAAGCAAGGGGGAAGGGAGAGTGACAAGGGTAGCAGGGGGAAGGGAGAATGATAGGGGTAGCAGGGGGAAGGGAGAATGATAGGGGTAGCAGTGGGGAGGGAGAATGACATGGGTAACAAGGGAGAAGGGAGAATGATAGGGGTAGCAAGGGGGAAGGGAGAATGATAGGGGTAGCAAGGGGGAAGGGAGAATGACAGGAGTAGCGGGGGGAATGGAGAATGACAAGAGTAGCAGGGGGAAAGGTGGATGACAGGGGAAGCAAGGGGGAAGGGAGAGTGACAAGGGTAGCAGGGGGAAGGGAGAATGATAGGGGTAGCAAGGGGAAGGGAGAATGATAGGGGTAGCAAGGGGAAGGGAGAATGATAGGGGTAGCAAGGGGGAAGGGAGAATGATAGGGGTAGCAAGGGGAAAGGGAGAATGACATGGGTAGCGGGGGGAATGGAGAATGACAAGAGTAGCAGGGGGGGAAGGGTGGATGACAGGGGAAGCAAGGGGGAAGGGAGAGTGACAAGGGTAGCAGGGGGAAGGGAGAATGATAGGGGTAGCAGTGGGGAGGGAGAATGACATGGGGTAGCAGGGGGAAGGGAGAATGATAGGGGTAGCAGTGGGAAAGGGAGAATGACAGGAGTAGCGGGGGGAATGGAGAATGACAAGAGTAGCAGGGGGAAAGGTGGATGACAGGGGAAGCAAGGGGGAAGGGAGAGTGACAAGGGTAGCAGGGGGAAGGGAGAATGATAGGGGTAGCAAGGGGAAGGGAGAATGATAGGGGTAGCAAGGGGAAGGGAGAATGATAGGGGTAGCAAGGGGAAGGGAGAATGATAGGGGTAGCAGGGGGAAGGGAGAATGATAGGATTAGCAAGGGGGAAGGGAGGATGACATGGGTAACAAGGGAGAAGGGAGAATGATAGGGGTAACAAGGGGGAAGGGAGAATGACAGGGGTAGCGGGGGGAATGGAGAATGATAAGAGTAGCAGGTGGAAGGGTGGATGACAGGGGAAGCAAGGGGGAAGTAGGCATGGTCAAGGTGACGAGTCGAGTAGCCGGGGGAAGGGAGAATGACATGGGTAACAAGGGAGAAGGGAGAATGATAGGGGTAGCAGGGGGAAGGGAGAGTGATAGGGGTAGCAAGGGGGAAGGGAGAATGACATGGGTAACAAGGGAGAAGGGAGAATGATAGGGGTAGCAAGGGGGAAGGGAGAATGATAGGGGTAGCAGTGGGGAGGGAGAATGACATGGGGTAGCAGGGGGAAGGGAGAATGATAGGGGTAGCAGGGGGAAGGGAGAATGATAGGGGTAGCAAGGGGGAAGGGAGAATGATAGGATTAGCAAGGGGGAAGGGAGGATGACATGGGTAACAAGGGAGAAGGGAGAATGATAGGGGTAACAAGGGGGAAGGGAGAATGACAGGGGTAGCGGGGGGAATGGAGAATGATAAGAGTAGCAGGTAGAAGGGTGGATGACAGGGGAAGCAAGGGGGAAGTAGGCATGGTCAAGGTGACGAGTCGAGTAGCCGGGGGAAGGGAGAATGACATGGGTAACAAGGGAGAAGGGAGAATGATAGGGGTAGCAGGGGGAAGGGAGAGTGATAGGGGTAGCAAGGGGGAAGGGAGAATGACATGGGTAACAAGGGAGAAGGGAGAATGATAGGGGTAGCAAGGGGGAAGGGAGAATGATAGGGGTGGCAAGGGGGAAGGGAGGATGATAGGGGTAGCAGGGGGAAGGGAGAATGATAGGGGTAGCAGGGGGAAGGGAGAATGATAGGGGTAGCAGGGGGAAGGGAGAATGATAGGGGTAGCAGGGGGAAGGGAGAGTGATAGGGGTAGCAGGGCGAAGGGAGAATGATAGGGGTAGCAGGGGGAAGGGAGAATGATAGGGGTAGCAGTGGGGAAGGGAGAATGATAGGGGTAGCAGTGGGGAGGGAGAATGACATGGGGTAGCAGGGGGAAGGGAGAATGATAGGGGTAGCAGGGGGTAGGGAGAATGATAGGGGTAGCAGTGGGGAGGCAGAATGACATGGGGGAGCAGGGGGAAGGGAGAATGATAGGGGTAGCAGGGGGAAGGGAGAATGATAGGGGTAGCAGTGGGGAGGGAGAATGACATGGGGTAGCAGGGGGAAGGGAGAGTGATAGGGGTAGCAGGGCGAAGGGAGAATGATAGGGGTAGCAGGGGGAAGGGAGAATGATAGGGGTAGCAGTGGGGAGGGAGAATGATGTTTTAGTCACAATAGGCTTGAATGTGCCTAAAACGAAAGATAGAGAGCACAGACGGATTTCTGCACAGCGGCTTCAAACGTTGATAGCGTTCTGCTCACAGCTGCAAATGACCTGATTCAAATTGGATCTGGAGCGTCTTCACGTCGTCTACAATTAGCAATTTAGATTGCACGATTTGATAAAGAATTGACGACACAGCGTCGGTTTGAACGAACGGTACTATGGCAGCCACTATAGTCTTAGAACACAAGATAGGAAGAGTTACGAGTTGGGAATGACTCCCAGCTCCTACAAACCCCAAGAGCCGAGGTACAGTGATGTGGAACAGTGCCACACTGTCCCCAACCACGAAGGGTCTCGAAACTACCCTTCACTAGGGCCTACACCAAGTGAAATGTTACACTACACAAAGTAATGTAAATATCTTCAATATCTTGAGGTGTACCCTTTTTGGCGAGCTTCGAAATCACTTGAGGCTTGACACCAAGGCTCGGGCTCTTCATCACAAACTCATCCTTGAGTTCTTGATGGGTCTGCTGCACACACCTGCGACACGCCGAACGTTCGACACAGGACAAAATAGAAACCGCGCACGACAAAATAGAAACCGCGCGCGAGACACAAACGACCGCGTAACACGCGTCTAGCGATAACTCGCTATTGACTCGACACACACACTCGACATCATGACTCAACATTCACACACAATTATAAGCATGAAATATATATTATCCCATGCCCTCATACCATTCCATACACACACACATTCACGCACACGGACAACAAGCCGAGTGCAAACCGTAGGGTTGCACCAACAAATGACATGGGGTAGCAGGGGGAAGGGAGAATGATAGGGGTAGCAGGGGGAAGGGAGAATGATAGGGGTAGCAGGGGGAAGGGAGAATGATAGGGGTAGCAGGGGGAAGGGAGAATGATAGGGGTAGCAGGGGGAAGGGAGAATGATAGGGGTAGCAGGGGGAAGGGAGAGTGATAGGGGTAGCAGGGCGAAGGGAGAATGATAGGGGTAGCAGGGGGAAGGGAGAATGATAGGGGTAGCAGGGGGAAGGGAGAATGATAGGGGTAGCAGTGGGGAGGGAGAATGACATGGGGTAGCAGGGGGAAGGGAGAATGATAGGGGTAGCAGGGGGAAGGGAGAATGATAGGGGTAGCAGTGGGGAGGGAGAATGACATGGGGTAGCAGGGGGAAGGGAGAATGATAGGGGTAGCAGGGGGAAGGGAGAATGATAGGGGTAGCAGTGGGGAGGGAGAATGACATGGGGTAGCAGGGGGAAGGGAGAGTGATAGGGGTAGCAGGGCGAAGGGAGAATGATAGGGGTAGCAGGGGGAAGGGAGAATGATAGGGGTAGCAGTGGGGAGGGAGAATGACATGGGGTAGCAGGGGGAAGGGAGAATGATAGGGGTAGCAGGGGTAAGGGAGAATGATAGGGGTAGCAGTGGGGAGGGAGAATGACATGGGGTAGCAGGGGGAAGGGAGAATGATAGGGGTAGCAGGGGGAAGGGAGAATGATAGGGGTAGCAGTGGGGAGGGAGAATGACATGGGGTAGCAGGGGGAATGGAGAGTATGATAGGGGTAGCAGGGGGAAGGGAGAATGATAGGGGTAGCAGTGGGGAGGGAGAATGACATGGGGTAGCAGGGTGAAGGGAGAATGATAGGGGTAGCAGGGGGAAGGGAGAATGATAGGGGTAGCAGTGGGGAGGGAGAATGACATGGGGTAGCAGGGGGAAGGGAGAGTGATAGGGGTAGCAGGGCGAAGGGAGAATGATAGGGGTAGCAGGGGGAAGGGAGAATGATAGGGGTAGCAGTGGGGAGGGAGAATGACATGGGGTAGCAGGGGGAAGGGAGAGTGATAGGGGTAGCAGGGCGAAGGGAGAATGATAGGGGTAGCAGGGGGAAGGGAGAATGATAGGGGTAGCAGTGGGGAGGGAGAATGACATGGGGTAGCAGGGGGAAGGGAGAGTGATAGGGGTAGCAGGGTGAAGGGAGAATGATAGGGGTAGCAGGGGGAAGGGAGAATGATAGGGGTAGCAGTGGGGAGGGAGAATGACATGGGGTAGCAGGGGGAAGGGAGAGTGATAGGGGTAGCAGGGCGAAGGGAGAATGATAGGGGTAGCAGGGGGAAGGGAGAATGATAGGGGTAGCAGTGGGGAGGGAGAATGACATGGGGTAGCAGGGGGAAGGGAGAATGATAGGGGTAGCAGGGGGAAGGGAGAATGATAGGGGTAGCAGTGGGGAGGGAGAATGACATGGGGTAGCAGGGGGAAGGGAGAGTGATAGGGGTAGCAGGGCGAAGGGAGAATGATAGGGGTAGCAGGGGGAAGGGAGAATGATAGGGGTAGCAGTGGGGAGGGAGAATGACATGGGGTAGCAGGGGGAAGGGAGAGTGATAGGGGTAGCAGGGCGAAGGGAGAATGATAGGGGTAGCAGGGGGAAGGGAGAATGATAGGGGTAGCAGTGGGGAGGGAGAATGACATGGGGTAGCAGGGGGAAGGGAGAGTGATAGGGGTAGCAGGGCGAAGGGAGAATGATAGGGGTAGCAGGGGGAAGGGAGAATGATAGGGGTAGCAGTGGGGAGGGAGAATGACATGGGGTAGCAGGGGGAAGGGAGAGTATGATAGGGGTAGCAGTGGGGAATGGAGAATAACTAGTGTTAGCAGGGGGGGGGGGGGGTGGATGCCCCCACTAGCAAGGGGGAAGGGAGAATGACATGGGTATTGGCGAGTTATTGGTGCAAGCAAGCCTCCTTCATGTGGTAAGGAGATACAGAAGGAGAGAGATGGGTCAGGGTGACGGATCTCACCTTGGTGTTTACCACCCTATGCCCACAATGGTGCAAGGCTCCCCTGTTGGTCCCTTTTTGCGATCCCCGTTACCTGCTATGAGCAGTGGGGCGTATGTGGAGGGAGAGGGGATGAAGTAGGTCGAACGTGGTAGGAAACGTGCGGCGGGTAGAACGTGTGGGGGCGAATGCGGCGGGAAACTCGCGAAGGGGAGATTGCGGCACGCCTATTGTGAATTGGCATTTGCACCGATTTGGGGAGAATCCGAATGATGTGTCTGTCTCTCTGCGCATGCGCGAGCGAATCCACGGCTATGGGAATGCCATAACCATTCCAGTGCTGATAGGCGACGGTGAGCGTGCGGCGGGCTGAATGTCTAGGTGCGAAACTTGCAAACGCGATTACAACGGTGCGATTGCCGCGTGACGAACTAAACGGGGCCTGGGTGACGTGGCGAATGCGACAGCGCTAGTGTGCAGCGGAGAATGCGCTTGCGCGAGTGTGCCGTGGCGAATGCGACTGCGCGAGGGAGCCGCGGCGCATGCGACGGCGAGAGTGTGCCTTGGCGATTGCCTAAATGAGAATGAGCTGTGGCGAATCCTGTAACAGATCCACTAGCAAAAGGGGCATTTAACCATTTATCACTAGCTTGTAATACAAACAGAGAGTAGCAGCTCCTGGAAATTACTCAGTCTGAAGAGTGCTAGGAGATGCTGTAACAAACTCTGGAAGGTGAGTTGATGAGAGAAGAATCCTACCATATTTCTCAATTGATTAATTGGGGATAGGAAGTGGAGAATCAGCTTTCTTGGCTCTGACCCCTCCCTAGACCCCCTTGGGGTGCAGACACCTCCCCCATGGCAAGGGCGCACCACCATGGGCCTTGCCCATGTGGCAAAGGTTGATCCTTTTACTCAATGACATGGCACAAACAATGGAATAAAATGTTGTGTATGCAATATGTTATCCATACCTGTCATGTTTTAACTGGTTGCAATTTCAAGGGAGAGTTGCGTTGGAATTATGTTGGGAGTTTATGATTGGCTACAATTCCAACCAGCGGCGGAAGTTCCGTCGACTCACTTTGGGTGAGTATGTTCTGATTGGCTAGACAAGGGTGACATTTGAACTTACGTGGGTTTTGTTGAAACCTATCGCGTAGGTTCAGTCACAGTTATGTAGCAACTTTGTGATTGGTTGCATTTCCAATCAACTCCAAAGTCCTCGCTTCCAATCAATTTCAAACCAACCATGTTTCTCCCCTTGTTTCCCTCTCACAGCTGGTTCGACGTATCGAGACTAGGTTGTTAGAATCGTAGGCAAAAAGGTCATGTCGACTATCGAGAGAGTTGGTACAAAGAAGAAACCTAAGGGGTTGTACCCCACAGTGTGTACCCCACTAAGCCTACCCAAACTATAACATATATGTACATATGTTTGACACACCCCCATAGGCAGAGTGGGGGAGAACAGAGGGTCACAAGACCAGTCAGGAAGTGCAAAGCAAGCTCAGGGTGGATCACAACGTCACCACGCAGTCTGAGCACAAGTAAGAAGGCCACAAGGCCAGTTCACATGCAGAAATATATATGTAACAACAACAGTACAGTGATATCTACCTACAAGAACAAGCATGCAGGAATACATATAAATCATGGTACAAACAAAGCCTACAGCAAGTGAGGAAGCGTGGGCAGAAGGCCTAACAAAGTGCAGAAACGCTGATGATCACCAGGCGGAAGTGCCTTGGTGAATATATCAGCAGTGTTGGCCCGTGTGGCCACGTAGGTAAGACGAAGCTGGCCACGCTGCTGCAGCTCTCGAGCAAGAAAGTAACGGAGAGCGATGTGCTTTGTTCTGTGCTCCAGTCTGTGCTCCTGACACAAGGCAATGGCGGCCTTGTTGTCGACGTACAGAACTGGAGGAGAACGAGGCCGCTCTCCCAAGTCGGTCAGCAGGTAGATGAGCCAGCGCAGCTCCTGTGCAGCCATGGCTGTGGCGTAGATCTCTGCCTCACAGCTGGAGCTGAGAACTAAAGACGAACGTGTAGAACGCCAGGAAACTGAACCAGAACCAAGGCTGAAGGTGTAACCCTGTGACGACCGCTGAGTAGCCTGGTCGTCAACCCAAGAGGCGTCTGAGTGACCTGTGAGGACAACGTCACCCCGTCCTCCAAGCACGAGCCCCATGCCCGATGTACTGCACAAGTAGCGTAGTACCCTCTTGGCAGCATCCATGTGCACCTTTCGGTGCCGACCAGGAGCCACGTAGCGAGCCAGAAGGCCAAGAGGGTACGCAAGGTCAGGACGAGTGCAAGTCATCAGGTACATGAGGCAGCCCACTAACTCTGGGTAAGGACCACTCGGCTCTATGGACTCGTCCGAAGGTGGAGCTGAGAGCGAGTGACCTGTAGCCAGAGGAGTGGCCTGTGCTGAGGACCAGGTGAAACCGAAGCGCTGAAGGACCTGCTGCACCATGTGTGACTGAGTCAGTGTGATGGTGCGGCGTGCTCTGTCCCGGGTGATCTGCAAGCCAAGGTAGCTGCGCAGTTCACCCAGGTCTGTGCACGTGTGTCTCTTCTGCAGCTCCGACTTCACCAGGGCGAGAGCCTCAGTGTCAGCAGTGGCAAAGACCAAGTCGTCGACGTACACGAGAACGTAAAACGGTGGCAGCGAAGTGTCGGTGCGCAAAAACAGCGACGGGTCAGCAGTCGACGGAGCAAACCCAAGAGCCGCAAGTGTCGTCCTCAGTGTGTCGTGCCACTCACGTGGCGCCTGGCGGAGACCGTAGACCGGCCGCCGGAGGCTCCACTGGGTACCAGGAGGGAACGACTCAGTAAAGCCAGGAGGGCGGCGCAGCCAAATCTCCTCGTGCAGGCTGCCCTGTAAGAAGGCTGTGCTGAAGTCAAGAGAGTGAAGCTCGTAGTCACGCTGAGCGGCAACGTGCAGCAGCACCCGAAGAGTGGTCATCTTCGGGGTGGGGGAGAAGGTCTGGAAGAAGTCAACTCCCTCTCGCTGACTTAAGCCTCGAGCCACGTAACGAGCCTTGAAGACAGGCGGAGAACCTGGCGGCCGCTTCACCCTGAAAATCCACATGCCACTGACAATGTTCGCCCCAGGAGGGGGAACCTCGTCGACGTAGGTGCCTGTGGACTTCCAGGATGCCATCTCTGCGTCCATGGCTGTCTGCCACTGAGAGGAGTACTCACCCGCGATCGCCTCAGCGTAAGAGCGCGGGGTAGGGATGTCTGGTGCATCCGGGTCTCCTTCAGGGGCAAGCAGCATGGATACGAGATGAGGCGCAGCGGTTGCAAGACACTCAAGGTCCTCCTACCTGTCCTCAAGGACGTCCGTGCCAAGAGCACACTCACCCCCGACGGACGGAGGACAGACAGACGCAGACTCAGCAACAAGACTGGCGGCGTAGTCTAGACGACAGTGAGCAGCAAAGGCAACAAGCTCAGTGACTAAGGCAGACGCAGCAGCAGACTCAAACGACGGGTCAGTGACAACAGTGGCAAGCAGACGCGTGACAGTAGAGTGCTCAGCACGAAACCGGTCAGACGCAGGGTCAGCAACGACAGGCAGAGAGGACGCAGGGGGAGGCGGCAGAGGAACACGCGGTGAAGGAGAGGAAGGACGACGAACTACAAGGGGAGGGCCGGAGACAGCCGGCTGGCTCTGACGAGGAACACGACGACCGGAACTGACAGGGGAGACAGGACGCGACGCAGGCTCATGATGCTCTGCAAGGCCACTAGGCTGCTCAATGTATGGAGAAGGAGCAGGCAGCTGTGAGCCAGGCTGTAACGGAAGACCAGTAGACGAAGGAAGACTGAGAACCTGGCGAAGTGCAGAGTCAGGTGGTGGCTGAGACGACGGAGACGGCGGAGCAAAGAACATGCGCGGCTGAGCAGTGCCACCAGCACGAGCAGCACCAGCCCCTCCAGCAACTCCAGCACCTCCAGCAGCTCCAGCACCCCCAGCAGCTCCAGCACCTCCAGCAGCTCCAGCACCGCCAGTAGCTCCAGTACCTCCAGCAGCACCACCACCAGCCCCAGCAGCTCCAGTACTCCCAGTACGAGCACCTCCGGGACCAGCGACACCAGCAGAAGAATCTCTAGCAGGAGAGCCCTGAGGTGCAGAAGTGGGACGCTGACGGCAACCGTACCAGTCGTGCAGCTGCTGGGAGGTGAGGGGCACACGCGGACGAAGACGGCTACTCCAAGGAGACCGCGTAACAGCAGTCTCAGAACCCTCAGGCAACTCACCCCCAGACTCAGCACCCCGAGGCTCCGCACACTCAGGCTCAGCACCCCCAGACGCAGCACCTCCAGACGCAGTACCCCGAGACGCAGCACCTCCAGGCTCCTCACGCGCAGGCTCAGCACCTCCAGGCTCCACATGCTCAGCGCCCCCAGACTCAGCACCCCCAAGCTCCGCACCCCCAGGGACAGCACCACTCGCAGCAGGACCGGAGTCACCAGTGACCTCAACAGGCGCAGGCGCAGGGGGGTCTACCTGAGAGACACCTGAAGGAGCAGGACCTGGTGCGGGGAGGGGGTCTACCTGGGGAGGACCTGGGGTGAGAAAGAGCGGTGGGGGGGGGCGAGGAGCAGTGCGGTAGGGGAAGAGGCGGTAAAAGGGGACCGACTCGTCAAAGGTGACGTCCTGAGACGCAAAGACACGGCGCGAGGCGGGGTCGTAAAATTGCCAGCCAGGCGCGTCAGGGACAAAGCCAAGGAAGACGCAAGGAATGGCGCTAGGGGAGAGCTTGTCCGCGGTGGTATCGCGGACAAAGGCACAAGCACCCCAGACCCGGAAACGCGACGCGTCGCCAACCTTCCCCGTCCACAGCAGTGTGGGCGAGGTCTCCGGCAAGGAGACACGGGGCCAAAGGTTGAGCTGATGCACGGCGTACCGGACCGCAAACGGCCACAGAAAATGGGGGGCAGCCGCATGGATCATGGAGGTACGAGCGACCTCCATGACTAAGCCAATGCGGCGCTCAGCAACCCTATTCTGCTGCGGAGAGGCCGGAAGCGTGAAAGTCTGGCGGATGCCGTGCTCCGCACAGAAGGCTGCCAAGAGGTCTGAGGAGAACTCACCACCTCTGTTAGAGTGCAGACGCAGGACAGGAAAGTCCGACTGGAACCGCTCGCGGAGCTGGAGACGAGTAGCGCGGATCCAGGGGATCAAAACATCAGGGACATCCCCCTTGCGCTGCAAGGGGAAGACCGTGGTGTAGCGCGTGTAGTCGTCGACAACCAGCAGGAAGTACCGCTCGTGGCCCTGTCCACGGACGCGGGCTGGGCCCCATACGTCCAGGTGGAGAGTCTGCAGTGGAGCCTCTGTGGGAGGGAACGAGGAGGAGTGAGGAGCGGCGCGCTGCCGCCCCTCGACGCAGGGAATGCAGGGCGGCGCAGGCGAGGGAGGGAGGGGAGGCAGAGACCTGGGAAGACCAGAAACTAGGAAGCAGGAGTGCATGCTGCGTAGGCGAGGCAGGGAGGGGTGACCAAGGCGGTGGTGCCACAGGAGAGTGTCGTGCGACAGCCGGCGACACTCACACTGTGTAGCTACCTGAGCAGACGTGTGCAACTGGGGAGACAAAGGGGCGGAGCGTGACGCAGTGGTGAGGGTGTACAGACTGGACCCTGGCGCACGAGCGAACGTGGCCAGGTGGCGACCAGTCTGGGAGCACGTGCAAATCGCCACACGCTGCCGGCTAGGGGTGAAGGTGTCAACCCCCGCATCCTGGAGGACAGCGTTACTCACCAAGTTCGTAGAGAACGAGGGGAGGTGGAGACCAGACAGCTCACCGGACGTGACCGCCGGACACGGAAGCACAGTGGAAGACCGTGCAAGCACTGGGCCCCCAGAGGGGTCAGCCAGTGAGACAGGAACAGGTGCAGGGAGGGGAGTGACTGTGGTACTGTCGCGAAAGAAACAGCGGGAAGCACCAGAGTCAAGTGTAAAGGTGTGCAAAGCCTGTGCAGGCGCAGTCCCAAGGGGAGCAGACTCACAAGCACCTAGTGCTGCTGGGGCTATACCAGGGGCTATACCAGGATCCGGCGGCACACACAAGTAGCAGTCACCCTCAGCACTAACAGACAAGGCATACATAGCAGCAAGAATTGCCTCATAGTCAAGATCAAAGAGGTACATCACGCCTAAGCAAGTCTGCCCAGTTGGGGAACTCAGGAGCATCAGGAAACTTGGCGCGCCAGGCGTCGCTAAGTCGAGCGAAGCAGCGCTGCTCAGTGTGAAAACCTGTGCACTGGCGACCAGCGCGGGGACCTGTGCGGATGATATAGGGGCAGCGACCAGGACCCCCAGAAGCCCCACGCCCGGCATACCAGTCAAGAAGCTGCTGGGAAGTGGGGGTCTGGCGCTGATGCTGCTGCTGCTGCTGCTGCTGCTGCTGCGGCTGCTGCTGGCCCTGACCACCAATGCCACTACCGCTCCCTCCTCCCCCACTGCCGTTGCTGCCCCCTCCACCGCTCCCAGTGCCTCCGCCGCCCCCACCACCACCTCCACCGCCTCCACCCCCACGACCACCCCCACCACCTCCCTCCCCCGCCGCCTGCACCACCGCCACCTCCACCGCCACCCCCACCGCCCCTGCCACCCCTGCCGCCCCTGCCGCTGCGACGCTTCCCACTAGGAGCGGAAGCAGCTCCGACCCCCTCAGCACCAAGGTAGTCGTGAGCAGCAGCTGCGGAGGCGTAGGAGGGGGTGAGAGGGGAGGGGGAGCATCCCTCAAAGAGGGGAGAGCGAGGAGTGCCACGAGCAGCACCTACAGCGAGGATGTTCTTCTCTGCTGCGAGGAGGTGCTTCTCGAAGTCGTCGACAGTGAGAGTGGTGGGGTCTAGCACTAGGAAGTGGTCCCTGACAGAGCTAAGAGTGTCAGGGAGGCGGGTGACGAGGAAATAGAGAGTGAAGTACATCGCGGGGGGGGGGGTTTGCGGCGCAGAACTCGGCTGAAAGGGCGGCACGAAAGCGAGAGTCAGTAGCGCGCAGGTGAGAAACTAGGTCCTCAGCAGTGGTGAACGAGGAAAGATCGGGGAACAGGTACGGTAGCATGAGTCGACCTATGGCTGCAGTGGCCGGGGAGGAGTAGCGCGCAACTACAACGTCGTACAGTGTCTTAGCAGTTCTGTGCTGGCTGAAATGCGCTCGCTCAGTAATCGGCAGGTGGTTCCTAATAGCTAGGCGTGCAGCAGCATCACGAGTCTGCCACTGGGAGCGTTCTAGAGCAGGAGCATCAGCAGCAGGAGTAACGGCAGTGCCAGAGACGTAATCAAACAGGGAAACGCCCTCTTTGGCATCAGTCAGAAGGAACAGCTGGAGATCGTCTAACCACACAGTGAACTCGATGGGACGACCGTCAGGCTCGAACGCTAGAACGTTGGGCGTCGCCATATTGGCTTATGGCAGGAGGCAGCAAGCAGCAGGCAGTAGGCAGAGGCAGCAGGCACCAGGTAGGAGGCAGGTGGCAGGCAGGCGGCAGCAGGCAGCAAGCAGGCAGGCGGCAGCAGGCAGCAAGTAGCAGGCAGGCAGCAGGCAGCAAGTAGCAGGCAGGCAGCAGGCAGGCAGCAGGCAGGCGGCAGGCAGGCGGCAGCAGGCAGGCAGCAGGCAGCAAGCAGGCAGGCAGGCAGGCGGCAGGCAGGCGGCAGCAGGCAGCAAGCAGGCAGGTGGCAGGAGGCAGCAAGCAGCAGGCAGGCAGCAGGCAGGCTGCAGGCAGGCGGCAGCAGGCAGCAAGCAGGCAGGCAGGAAGGCGGCAGGCAGGCGGCAGCAGGCAGCAAGCAGGCAGGCGGCAGCAGGCAGGCAGCAGGCAGGCTGCAGGCAGGCGGCAGCAGGCAGCAAGCAGGCAGGCAGGCAGGCGGCAGGCAGGCGGCAGCAGGCAGCAAGCAGGCAGGCGGCAGCAGGCAGCAAGCAGCAGGCAGGCAGCAGGCAGGCAGCAGGCAGGCGGCAGCAGGCAGCAAGCAGGAGCGGCCTGAGGGCTGCGTGAGGCTGCTGGCTGCGTGTGGCGGCTTGCTGCACGAGGCTGCAGGCTGCGCGTGGCTACGGGCAGCGCGCGCGGCCGCAGGCTGCGTGCGGCGACGGAATGCGCGGGCTGCGGGCTGCTTGCAGTTGCGGGCTGCGCGTGGCGACAGGCAGCGTGCGCGGCTGCAAGCTGCGTGCGGCTGCGGGCTGCGCTGGGCGACGGGCCGCACGTGCGCGGCTGCGGGCTGGTCGCTAAGCTGCGGGCTGCGCTGGGCGACGGGCCGCGCTGGCGTGGCCTAACCAGGTTGCGCGCGGGCGGCTTAAGGGGCGTACAGGTGGGGCCGAAACGGGCTGCGCGGGCTGCTGAAGCGGCGCACGTGGGAAAAAAAAAGGACCGCCCGAGGCGCGCGCGGGCAGCCGAGGCGCGCGTAGGCACTAGACAAGGCAGGCAAGCGTGGTGGGCCCTAATCCTAGGTCCTAAGGACCTATGCTCTATACCATGTTAGAATCATAGGCAAAAAGGTCATGTCGACTATCGAGAGAGTTGGTACAAAGAAGAAACCTAAGGGGTTGTACCCCATAGTGTGTACCCCACTAAGCCTACCCAAACTATAACATATATATACATATGTTTGACATAGGTGGGGGTAGGTCCAGATGTTACACTCCTCCCCCTCCAGCTGGCAACGTCTTCGTTGCCGTGGAGTGCTTCTTAGGACGAGTGCTACAAGCACGACGAACCACATTACTGTCAGAATATTATGTTTCTCTAGTCTGTAGTGGGGTACTCTGTAGTGAGTACAACCCTGTTAGGGTTTTCTATATGTATCCCAATGCTTTCTAGTGCAATCATCCTCACTCATTTTCTTCTCGATTCTCACATGGTATAGAGCAATATCGATACTTCCAAGGGCCCACCACGTTTCCACTGAAAACTTTTTTCTTCTTACCTGCCTGACGCGCGCGTCGCGCCTGCCCTTAACGGCCCTTCGCGGCCCCTCGTAAGGCCCTTCGCGGCCCCTCGTTAGGCCCCTTCGCGGCCCCTCGTAAGGCCCTTAGCGGCCCCTCGTTAGGCCCCTTCGCGGCCCCTCGTAAGGCCCCTTCGCGGCCCCTCGTACGGCCCCCTACGCGGCCCCTCGTTAGGCCCCTTCGCGGCCCCCTCGTAAGGCCCCTTTCGCGGCCCCCTCGTAAGGCCCCTTCGCGGCCCCTATTGAGGCCCTTCGCGGCCCCGTCAGGCCCCGTTTGTGGCCCGGTCAGGCCCCGTAAGGCCCCGTTAGGCCCCCGTCGCGGCCCCCTCGCGGCCCGTTAGGCCCCTTCGCGGCCCGTTAGGCCCGTCGCGGCCCCTTTCACGGCCCGTTAGGCCTCCGTCGCGGCCCCTTCGCGGCCAATTAGGCCCCTTCGCGGCCCCCTTTACGACCCTTAACGACCCCTTTCGCGGCCCGTTAGGCCCCCGTCGCGGCCCAATCGCGGCCCTGCCCCTGCCATGCCCCGACCCTGCCCAGACCCCGCGCCGCCAGCCCTGCTGCGGATGCGGCAGTGGGGGGAGTGGACCTGCAGCACCAGCCCCCCCCCCCCCCTCAGGTCGCCTCACCAGGCGACGGGAGGGGCGACCTGGGGGGGCTGCGCGTCGGAGCAGCCACCCCTGGTGCAGCCGCCCCTGGAGCAGCCGCCCCTGGACCCGGAGCAGCCGCCCCTGGCCCCTGGAGCAGCCGCCCCTGGAGCAGCCGCCCCTGGTGCAGCCGCCCCTGGAGCAGCCGCCCCTGGACCTGGAGCAGCCGCCCCTGGTGCAGCCGCCCCTGGAGCAGCCGCCCCTGGACCTGGAGCAGCCGCCCCTGGAGCAGCCGCCCCTGGAGCAGCCGCCCCTGGTGCAGCCGCTCCTGGACCTCAGCAGCCGCCCCTGGCCCCTGGCCCCTGGAGCAGCCGCCCCTGGACCCCCTCCTCTCCGCCCTTTTCTCCTCTCCCTCCCCCTGCTGCGGGTGCAGCAGTGGGGGGGAGGGGATCTGCCATCCCCCTGGAGCGGATGCGGCAGTGGGGGGAGGGGACCTGCAGCACCTGCCTGCCCCCCCCGCCCGCCAGCCCTGCTGCGCCCCGCGCGCCCTGCTGCCCTGTGCGCCCCGTGCGCCCTGCTGCCTTGCTGCCCTGTGCGCCCCGCGCGCCCTGCAGCCCTGCTGCGCCCCGCGCGCCCTGCTGCCCTGTGCGCCCCGTGCGCCCTGCTGCCTTGCTGCCCTGTGCGCCCCGCGCGCCCTGCAGCCCTGTGCGCCCCGCGCGCCCTGCTGCCCTGCTGCCCTGTGCGCCCCGTGCGCCCTGCTGCCCTCTGCACGCGCCATGCACAGCACCCCCCCCCCCCCCCCCCCCCCCCCCCCCCCCCCCCCCCCCCCCCCCCCCCCCCCTTCTCCTCCATCCCCTGCTGCAGGTGCAGCAGTTGGGGGGGGGTATGGGGGTGGCGGGTGTGTGGCATCCCCTGCTCCTCCTCCTACTCCGTCTCCCACTGCTGCAGCTGCCGCTGAGGGGGGTGGGTGTGTGTGAGTCGACGGAGTGGTGCTAGGGGGTGGAGTGTGAGTGAACCTAGGGGTGCAGCAGAGGGTGTGTGAATGGGGGGTGCGGCAGTAGAGGGAGGTTGGGTGGAGGTAGCCGTCGTGTTGCTAGCAGTGCCAGTAGTCCGGAGGTGCGCTTCCGGTAGCCCAGTGATGCCGCTGCGCCAGTCGCCCGTGGGTCCGTTGCTCCTGCCGCTCGTCTTAGCCGCGGAGCCAGTTACTCCTGTAGTCCGGAGGTGCGCCTCCGGTAGCCACAGTGCGCGCCGCTCCTGTTGCCCGTGTGTCTGCAGCTTCCGCCGTTGCCTCCTCTCTCCTCTCCTATTAGTCCAGCCTCCTCCTCCTCACTTGCCCTCTGTGATAGCCTCTAGCTTTGCTTATTTATTATGAACTTTAAACTGTTACTTCTTGTACTTGTGCTCAGAATGTGTGGTGACATTGTGATCCACCCTGAGCTTGCTTTGCTTTGCTTGTTGTGCTGATCATACCCCACTTTGACTATGGGGGTGTGTCAGAATATTATGTTTCTCTAGTCTGCAGTGGGGTACTCTGTAGTGAGTACAACCCTGTTAGGGTTTTCTATATGTATCCCAATGCTTTCTAGTGCAATCATCCTCACTCATTTTCTTCTCGATTCTCACAATTACGACCAGGGTCAACACCATCCGCTGGTGGTGGGAGTGCTCGTTGAGTCAGGTCTTCCATGTAGGACTGAACCTCAGTATCAGTCAAATGTTCTTCTGGCTCCCAAGAGTTGTGTTCAGGCCCATAGCCTTTCCACTTGATGAGGAACTCTCGTACAGTCTTGCGGCCGTGTTGTCGATCACGATGCAAAAGCACTCGTTCGACTTCATAGTACAGTTCCTCCCCTAGGACGATTGTTGGTGGTGGTAAATACTTGCCTTCCGCAACGTACTTGCTTAACAGAGACACATGGAAGACATTGTGAATCTGAAGGGTATCAGGTAGTTTGAGCTTATAAGCTACCGCACCAACTCGTTGAACAACCTCAAATGGCCGAATATTCTTCGTGCTTAACAAAACCTTGTCTCCAACGGAGAATGAGACTTCCCGGCGTTTCATATCGGCATAGGATTTTTGCCTTTGTTGGGCTAATTGCAGCCAACGACGTGCCGACTTTAGGGCCTCTCGTTGCTTGCCCACAAAATCCTTTGCGGCAGGTAATTTCAAACCGCCGATCCCATGCGTAGCAGGTGTTGTGGGATGCCGACCACAGTTCAGGATAAATGGTTTTTCATGTGTGCTATCATGCACTGAGTTGTTAACCGCAAACTAGACCATGGGTAACAACTCGTCCCAATTGTCCTGTATTGGGCTTATGAAAGAACGAAGCATCTGCTCGAGAGTGCGGTTAGTCCGTTCCGTTTGCCCATCTGTCTGGGGATGGAACGCTGACGACATCTTAAGCTTCGTTCCTAGTGTCTCGGTTACTTCACGCCAGAATCGGCTCGTGAAGCACGGGTCGCGATCAGACACTAATACACGTGGCAATCCGTGTAGGCGGAACACATGTGTCACGAACAACCGAGCCGTATCCTCTGCTGATACATCCATTGTCATGGGTACAAAGTGCACCATCGTTGTAAGGCGATCTACAAACACGAGTTTGGCCGTATACCCATCGCGGGTTTTTGGGAGGTCGGTGATGAAATCCAGTGAAACACTTTCCCAAGGTGCACTCGGAATTTCAAGTGGTTGAAGCAAACCGCCAGGCTTCTGTGTGTCCGGTTTGTTACGTGCGCACGTGTCACAACGTGCCACAAACTGTTGGACATCACTATCGACTCTTGGCCACCAATACCCATCACGTAGGGCCCACCGGGTCTTATTCATGCCCAAGTTTCCCCCATATTTAGTGGCGTGCACCTCTTCCAAAATATCGTTCCGCAGATTGCCTACATGAGGTACTGAGAAACTGAACGAGAATGAATTGACGAAGGGAAAGTTGGGTACAAATGCAAACCCTAGACAACTGTACCCCATATGTGCTACCCCACTATAGCCTACAGTAGCTATGTCATATAAATCTGACACACCCCCATAGGCAAAGTGGGGGAGAACAAGGGGTCACAAGACCAGTCAAGCAAAGCAAAGCAAGCTCAGGGTGGATCACAAAGTCACCACATATTCCGAGCACAAGTTCAAGGCCACAAGGCCAGTTCACATGCAGGATTACATATATATATAAGGCTAGACAAGCAAGAGCAGGTGTATATATATATGCAACAGTACAAACAAGGTCAAGGGGTGAGCAAGTGAGGCAAGGTAGGCACAAGACCCAGCTGAGTACAGAAGCGCTGATGATCACAAGGCGCAAGTGCCTTGGTGAAGATATCAGCAGTGTTGGCCTGAGAGGCCACGTACGCAAGCCGCAGCTGACCACGCTGCTGTAGCTCACGAGCAAGGAAGTAGCGGAGAGCAATGTGCTTCGTTCTGTGCTCCAGTCTCTGCTCTCGACACAAGGCCAGCATGGCCTTGTTGTCTACGTACAGCACTGGAGGAGAACGAGGCGGCTCTCCGAGGTCAGTCAGCAGGTAGGTGAGCCAACGAAGCTCCTGTGCAGCCATGGCCCCGGCGTAGATCTCAGCCTCACAACTGGATCCGAGAACAGAAGACGAGCGGGTAGCCCGCCACGAAACAGAGCCGGAACCAAGGCTGAAGGTGTAACCCTGTGACGACCGCTGCGTAGCCTGGTCGTCAGCCCAAGAAGCGTCTGCGTGCCCAGTGAGGACCACTGGACTCTGCCCTCCAAGCACAAGCCCCATGCCCGACGTACTGCACAAGTAACGCAACACCCTCTTCGCTGCAGCCATGTGCTCCGGTCTGTGTCTCCCAGGAGCAACATAGCGTGCGAGAATGCTAAGAGGGTATGCGAGGTCAGGTCGTGTGCAGGTCATCAGGTACATGAGGCAGCCAACAAGCTCTGGGTACGGGCCACTCGACTCTACGGACTCATCCGAAGGCAGAGCTGAGAGCGAGTGGCGAGTAGGCAGAGGAGTGGCCTGAGGCGAGGAGTACGTGAAGCCGAAGCGCTGAAGGACCTGCTGCACCATGTGTGACTGAGTCAGGGTAATGGTGCGGCGTGCTCTGTCCCGGGTGATCTGCAAGCCAAGGTAGCTGTGCAGTTCACCCAGGTCTGTGCACGTGTGTCTCTTCTGCAGCTCGGACTTCACGTGGGCGAGTCCAGCAGTGTCAGCTGTGGCAAAGACCAAGTCGTCGACGTACACGAGGATGTAGAACGGCGGCAAAGAAGTGTCGGTGCGCAGAAACAGCGACGGGTCGGCAGTAGAGGGAGCAAACCCAAGAGCCGCAAGTGTAGTCCTCAGTGTGTCGTGCCACTCACGCGGTGCCTGGCGGAGACCGTAGACTGGCCGCCGGAGGCTCCACTGGGTGCCAGGTGGAAAAGACTCAGTGAAGCCAGGTGGGCGACGCAGCCAGATCTCCTCGTGCAGGCTGCCCTGCAAGAAAGCAGTGCTGAAGTCAAGAGAGTGCAGCTCGTAGTTGCGGTGAGCAGCTATGTGCAGCAGTACCTGAAGAGTGGTCATCTTCGGGGTGGGAGAGAAGGTCTGAAAGTAGTCAACTCCCTGCCGCTGACTGAAGCCACAAGCCACGTAACGCGCCTTGAAGACAGGCGGAGAACCCGGCGGTCGCTTCACCCTGAAAATCCACATGCCACTGACGATGTTCGCCCCAGGCGGGGGAACCTCGTCAACGTAGGTGCCTGTGGACTTCCAGGAAGCCATCTCTGTGTCCATAGCTGCCTGCCACTGAGAGGAGTAGGGACCCTCTATCGCCTCCGCGTAAGAGCGCGGAGTCGGGATGTCAAGTGCATCCGGGTCTCCCTCAGGGGTAAGCAGTACGGACACGAGATGAGGTGAAGCAGCAGCCAAACACTGGAACTCCTCCTGCCTGTCCTCAAGGACGTCCGTGCCAAGGGCACACTCACCCCCGACGGACGGAGGACAGACAGACGCAGACTCAACGAGAAGACTAGCAGCGTAGTCAAGACGACAGCGAGCAGCAAAGTCGACGAGCTCAGCAACTAGGGCAGACGCAGCAGTGGACTCAAAGGAAGGGTCAGTGACGACAGTAGCAAGGAGACGCGTGACAGTAGGACTGGCAGCACGAAGAGAGTCCGACTCCGGGTCGGGAAGAGCAGGAAGAGAGGACTCAGGAGGAGAAGGCAAAGGGGCACGCAGAGGAGCAGTGGATGGACGCAGAGACATCCGGTGCATGCCAGGGACAGGAGGAGGACGCTGACGCGAACCACGACCACTAGTGCGAGCAGGACGGACATGCGACGCAGGGCGAGACGCAGGCTCACGACGCTCAGCCAGACCTCCAGTAGGACCAGTGTAGGGAGAAGGAGCGGGCAGTGGGGAGGCCGGCTGTAACTGTAACTGTGACGGGACAGGCAGTGGACACTCTAAGGGAGGAGGAGGACCAGTAGAAGGCGGGAGACCAAGAACCTGCTGAAGGAGCGGAACGAAGTACGGCCGAGGCAGCGCGGCGACTCCAGACACGGCAGGGACAGCACCAGTACCCCCAGCGGCAGCACCAGCGCCAGCAGCACCTCCAGCTCCAGTACCTCCAGCAGCACCAGTAGCACCCCCAGCAGGACCGCCTCCAGGACCGACAGCAGTAGCCTCAGCGTCAACACCCTCAGCAGCTCCAGCTCCAGTCGTACCCGCAGGCCCAGCAGCTCCAGTACTCCCAGTACGAGCACCTCCGGGACCCGCGGCACCAGCACCCTCAGCAGCCGAAGAACCTCCAGCTCCAGCAGCACGCCTCCAGCGCCGGGCAAACCACTCGCGCAGCTCCTGTGGAGAGAGTGGCTCCCGCCGAGACGAAGCACCCGGAGAACCTCCAGGCTCAGCACCGCCAGACGCCACACGAGCAGGCCCAGCTCCCTCAGGCTCCGCACCCCCAGGCTCAGCACCTCCACGCGTAGCACCCCCAGGCTCAGCACCCCCAGGCTCAGCACCCCCAGGCTCAGCACCCCCAGTAGTAGCACCCCCAGGCTCAGCACCCCCAGGCTCAGCACCCCCAGGAGTAGCACCCTCAGGCTCAGCACCCCCAGGCGTAGCACCCACACGCTCAGCACCCCCAGAGTCAGCACCCCCAGGCTCAGCACCCTCAGCAGCACCAGAGTCACCAGTAACCTCGACAGGCTCGACGGCGTCTACCTGGGACACACCTGAAGGGGCAGGACCCTGAGGGGGGAGGGGGTCTACCGGGGGGGGACCTGGCACAAGGAAGAGCGGTGGCGGGGGGAGGGACGGAGTGCGGTAGGGGAAGAGGCGGTAGTAGGGGACCGACTCGTCAAACGTGACGTCCTGGGAGGACAGAACACGGCGAGAGGTGGGGTGGTAGAACTGCCACCCTGGCGCGTCAGGGGGGAAGCCAAAGAAGACGCAAGGAGCAGCACGAGGAGACAGCTTGTCCGCAGACAAGTCGCGGACAAACGCCCGAGATCCCCAGACACGGAACGCAGACGCATCGCCAACCTTCCCCGTCCACAGCAAAGCTGGGGAGGTCTCCGGCATGGAGACCCTGGGGTGAAGGTTGATCTGATGCGCCGCGTACCGAACCGCAAACGGCCACAGAAAATGGGGGGCAGCCGCATGCATCATGGACGTACGGGCAACGTCCATGACCATGCCAATGCGGCGCTCAGCAATCCC